GTGGGCAAGGGGGTGAGGTAGGTGTAGGGAGAGAATCTAGAAGTAAAAATAAAATTGAATGGGAAAAAAATGCACAGAGAACCAAAGGAAGCCTAGACAAGCAGGAACTTGTAGAATATTTTCTATGTTTTACAGTACCAAGCAGCATGAAGTGGAGGTTCATGGTTGCCTTGAATCCTCTTTTTGTGTTCTTGTCATATGTATAGAAGTGGTTTTTTGTGGGGAGGGCTAGGGGTATTTAAATGCATAATAAAACTTTTTAAAATGAGCTTATTTTCATAGAATGAATTATACTGTGTTAAGTTGGTAAGTTTTGTTTTTCCTCTCCTGAAAATTACCTGGATTTGGAGTCAGGACCTGTGCTTTGGCTCTAGTATTGTTACTTTCAAGCTGCAGGACCTTGGACAGTCAGTTCAGAACTTCTCTGGGTCTTATTTTCCTCATCTGTAAAATGAAAGGGTCAGCCCAAATGGTCTCCAGGGGTGCCTGTCAGATCTAAAGTCCTATGATGCACCTACACTTTTCCCCAGTTAGGAATCTTACACTTTTGTGAGCTGTTAAAAGCCATGGACAAATAATTTTAGAATGATTTGATTGATGTTTTTAAAATGTTAAATTTGTTTTGGTGCAAGACATAAGAGGAATTAAAAAAAAATTCTCATGCAGATGTTTGCAGTTTTAATATGCCGGCAGTAAACTTTTATTTTTTACATTTCATTGGATAATTTGTATTTTTAAAAAAACTTAGGGCTCAATGTTCAGTTATTCATGGCGTTTAGAAAAGGCAGAAATTGTGCGTTAATATCTTCCAACCAGTTGAATTTTTAGAAGTGTTAAGTCAAATTTTTGATAGTGTATCTCCAACAAGTTATTTGCTGAGAAACATTCACTTCTGTTTTATGTCTTAAGCTGTCTAACTCTAAGACTCTCAGAGGGGTCCCTGACATAGAAACCATTAGGAAGCCCTGGTTTGTATGTCAGGTACCCCTCTGAGAGTTTGGTGAGGCCCTTGGACCCCTCTTCAGAATGTTTTTTAAATGAATAAAATAAAATACTTAGGATTACAGAGGAAACCAGTCATATGTGATGTTCCTTTTCTTTTGATCTATCTCAGTAGTAGAGAACTTTTCATTAACAACTTCAAGAAAAGTATCCATTTTCTCTTTGACAGCAAACTGCTGTGTACAGAACTGCTGCCCTGACTACAGCCTGATGGCCAGGTCACTGGAAGGCTGGCGGGGGAGAGAGGGGAAGCTTGCAGTTGCTTCTATTAGAGAGACTGCAATTGCTGATCTTGTTTGGCAAGGGACTAACGGGCAGCTAGGTGGCACAGTGGATAGAGCAGTGGCCCTGCAATCAGGAGGACCCGAGTTCAAATGTGGCCTCAGACACATGACACTTAACTAGCTGTGTGACCCTGGGCAAGTCACTTAACTCCATTGCCTAGCCAAAAAAAGAAAGGGGGACTAACACAGAAACCAGCTAGTGGGTATTGGGGATTCTTAGGTGAGAATATTCATCTAATCAGCTGGAAATAGCATATAGGCTCACGTAATTAGTAATGGCCTTTAAAAAAGTAGTCTGATCAAATAAATAGGTGTTTATTTACCAAATTGAAAATATTATTAGGGGCAGATAGGTGGCGCAGTGGATAGAGCACCAGCCCTGAAGTCAGGAGGAGCTGAGTTCAAATGTGACCTCCGACCAGACACTTGTCACTAACTAGCTGTGTGACCCTGGGCAAGTCCCTTAACCCCAATTGCCTTAAAAAAAAGAAAGAAAGAAATATTATTAAACTCTAGAGCAGTAGTTTTCAGCTCTCTTGAAGTTGTGACAACTTCTTATTTTCCGTTTGGGGAGTGATATCTTTTTTTTTTTTTTTTTTTGTAAGTATTAAAAGTATTTTTTGAGAACATTATGGCTAGCTTGAGCTTTAGGAATTGTAATATTAGCTTTTAGTAGTGTTGTAAGCTCTCTTTTTTAGGTATAAAAGCAGAGTTCCCTAAAGGATGTTTGTATTTAAAACAACTTAGGAGCGTGATTTGCACCAATTTGACAAACTAGTCTGTACTGTATATATCATGTGTGTAGACCTTTGCGTATATTATTGTATGGAAGTGTGACCTTGAATTCTTGAAATCTACGTCAGGAGAACATGCCAAGCTAGTGATGGACAGAAAGGCCTGTCATTAGAAGGTTACATACTTAATGGTGGATTAAGGATTCTTTTCTTTTGGATGCAGCAGCTTTATGAGACACTGTAGTGGGAATAGTCACAATGCTACAACATGAATGCAAGTGTCTTTGGAATTATTAAAATATCCAAATGGATATTTTGGTTTTCAGGTTTGTTTGTTTTTTTTAATCCATTTAACGGGTACATAAAAGTTTATGGAAGAGAATCTGTCTCATTAAGTGCATAAGTGTTTTTAAACCCTTAACCGACTGATAAATATCTTCTTATAACTGTTCAAAAATCTTTTTAAAAAGAAAATTGATGTGAAGACAGAGGTAGAAGTTAAGAAATAGTCATCCTCTCTGTCATGAGAGAAAATTGGAAAGAAGACTGGAGGGCAAGGGAAACTTTAATTTTTCCTGATCTCTGAGATCCATGAGAGTTATACCCTATACATTATGGTCTACATGGAAGTTGTATTCTATCCATCTCAGCAGAAGGAGTGGCAGAACAAGGGGGACAGTCAGAGAAGACAAGGAATGAGATTCTATTTTTGTATGTCCCTTGCAGTGTCTGTTTATGTTTTGGCTGCACCTAATGTCCCAGTGGTCTTCTGCTTGTCCCCATTATGTTATATACCTTCCGTATTCCCTAGTTTAAATTGAATGAACTTCAGTTTTCTTTCAGGTTCCATTTCACACTGAAACTATTACACTGGTTTCCTAACTGCTTTTTGTTTTTCCCAGATGAATTGTCCCAAAGTAATATTATTAAACTCTAGAGCACTGCCCTGATGAGAAACCTCGAATTGCTTACTGAGTAATGTCAAAATTCTTAGTCTTCATCGTGGCAGCCGCATCAGATCTGGCCTTAACATGCCTTGCAAGCCTGTGTTGCACTATTGTACCAGTGACTACTTTGCATTCCCCAAATATTCTTCAAACATTCCCACCTCCACAGCTTTGTTTATATGGTTCCTTTTTCTGAAATGCCTTCTCCTCCCCCTGCTCCTTTACTTATTTACCCACTGTAGACTGGCCCAAACATTTTGTAGAGCAATTTGGAAATACACAACAAAAGTCACAAAACTGGCCACATTTCCCTATTAAGCTGAATGTGAGCTCCTTAAGAGCAGGGACTGTCTTTGACCTTTCTTTGTATTCACAGCACTTAGCACAGTACCTGGCACATAGTAGGTGCTTACTAAATGTTGGTTGACCCTGACTCACACCCATTGATGTAATTCTTAAGAAAAGTGTCAAAAATGTAAAATAGTCATGATTTTCTTGTTTGTAATACCAAAAAACTACAGTCTATGTATCCAAAGATTGGAGACTAGCCAAACAAGCAGTTAAAGTGTTGTTGGTATTTGTTCAGTCATTTCGTTCTTGCCTGACTCTCTGTGACCCCCTTTGGGGTTTTCTTGGCAAAGACACTGGAGTGGTTTGCCATTTCCTTCTCCAGCTCATTTTACAGATGAAGAAACTGAGGCAAACAGGTTTAAGTGACTTGCCCAGGGTCACACAGCTAGCAAGTGAGGCTAGATTTTAACTCAGGAAGATGAGTTGTTGTGATGTTAGGATGTCATAAAAAAAGTGAATATTGAATATAACACTGAAACATGGAAAGATATATGACATGAAGCAAAGCTAAATTGCAGAAATGGAAGTAACCTGCATGCGCAGGCATGAAAACAAAGTGAAAAGTAGCAGAGGTGTAGGTAGACTTAGAGCCCCAGAGCCCAGTGTATTATAAATCCTGATGAGCGGGGGTTTTTTAAGTTTATTTTTGATCTGTTAAGTCATTTTTATTCTACTTTGTTACAAACTGTGTGACCTTGGGAAAATCACTCAACCTGTTTGCCTCAGTTTCCTCATCTATAAAATAGATAATAACAGCCCCTCCCAGGTTGTTGTGAGGATCAAAGAAGATGATAATTGTAACGTGCTATTATTGTCATCATTGTTATGTTGTCACGTGTAAGGTTCTACGGAAGAGTTTCTTCCTCATTGGGTATGTCTTGATACTTTGGTTAGTAATATTTTTAAGGCCTCGGTACTTAGCTTCTTTGGCCTCCCGTCCTCAGCCCAGCAGATTGTTGGCCGCTTTTTATTCTGTATTCTTCTGGGCACTTAATTTGTGCCTCTTAGAGCAGACCGCCTCACACTTCAGAGATTTGTACAGGGCTCTTCCCCTTTGAGATAGATCCCAGCTTCTTGAAAGCAGGGCCATCATCTAGTACAACATTGTGGCCCATACAGTATGCAGTTGGGTGTTCAGTATTCAATATGTGTAATTGTTGAATCTGTTCAGAATTGTGATCTCATAAACTTTTTCTTGGATCATGTGAAGTTTTTGTTTGTAAAATGTAATACATTGAATCTGCTTTTTGTAGCCAAAATTATACATAGTAGCAATAGACTTGACGATAAAGATTTGTGTTACAAATAATGTAGTTGTGCAGTTTAGATTGAGGAGGAAATTACATAATTGATTTGGTCTTTTTTTTTTTCTTGGTTACTTTAAGATTCCTATTCTTGCATAAGTCATCTTTATTATGTATTTGGGATCCATTGTTTATGGAGGAGGATTGTTAGAAATATAAGAACTAAGTTGCCATTTTTAAATGTTCAAATAGTTTATTTGTTTCATTAATTACATGATTGTATCAGTCCTTGAAGAGTTGATTTAGTCAGGTACATAACAATAAACTACAAAAATACTAGAGAGAAGATTTATTTTGTTCTTCCTTAACCTGCTACCCGTTTTCCCTCCAGAGTTATCTTTAACTTTTAGTAAAATCTGACTATTTCTTCTTTTTTAGGGCTTGTATATCTTTAGGATCCAAAACTCGAACAATTGGGAATGCAGCCAAAAGCCAGGTAAATTGATTTAATTTTGGTAGTTCCTTAAAATCATGTATCCTTTTGAATTAAATATGGTATTACATGAGTAGTGGGAAGATCTTATTTAGATTAAGTAGGGGGATCCTGATTAATTCATACAAGTAGAAAAGGGAGAATAAAGGTGTGCAGAAAACAAAATCTGTAATTAAAATTTGTGTTACATTGACTGTAGTATTTTAATTCTTAATTATTGCATTTTGTTCACCACCCCCCCAAATCGAGCTTGAATAAAGCATAATCATAGCCTGAAAGTATTAACAATCTAGTGTTAACCTAGGTAGTTTTCCACTTATTTGTCTTTGATCTATTGTATGATCAGTATAGTATATTTGAGTATGATCAGTATAGTATATTTGATTATGTTGGTCAGAATAATTCAGTTATTTTTCCAAAATAACTGTGAATTTAGGGTGTTGATGCTGCTAACGTGTGTAAAAACATTGTTACTAGATGTTAAGATCTATATATTTTGTGCTGTGGTACAAAGGCAACATCTGTATGCCTGAAGGGTTTCCTGACAAGAAGCTCCACCTGAGGGGAGGAGCATTTTAGGAAGAAGTGAAATAGAAAGTTAGAGGAACTACATAAGAAGCAGGGATAATTGAAGCTGCCATTAATTTATCTAGAATATATTTTTAAAAGTTTTTGGGTTGTGGGATCTATTTACCAGTAAGAAAGCATACATTTTATACTGGAGTGTGACAGCTAATTTTCCTTTCAATCTTATTTTCTTCAATTTTAAAATCTCTGAGTTCTCTTGAATTTTAAGATGTACCTGAATCTTTTCCTCTCTTATTTAAAAAGGAAAGGTAGAAGAGCATTGATTTTCCTGAGAATTTCCTTCCCCACCCCCCCTTCCCTATTACCAGTATACAAGACTTAATTAACTGTTTATTATCCTGGCGCTCCACTTATATTTGTACGTGTGATTTCTATTTAAGCTGTCTTACATAAATTGATCTGGGGATATTTTTTCTCTCTTTCCCTGTCTTTCTTTGTAGCTCTAACCTTTTTGTGTGTGTGTATGTAGTTTCAACAACTATTTAAGGTTGTTTTTCCATAAATATTTCTTCAATTTGGATAAATACTGAGCTATCAGTTCCACTCCAGAATTGGACCTTGAGCTCACCCAAGTCTGATGCATGTGGACATGATAGTTTGACTGAATTTCTGGTGCATCCCAGAATTCATTCTTACCCTTTGTGAGGGAAGCAGTCACGTCGCCTTTATTGAACAGCAGGCTACGTTGTCAGTCTTAGGCAAGATAATATTATTCTGGCTTTAGAATGGTAATTGTACTGTTACCTCTGGTTTCCTTCTTAGATTTTAAAGTCACAGCTGCTCAAAAATTATGGCAATTTGTATTTTGATTTGTTATTCACTAAATGTATCCCCTCATAGGGCATATACCTAGTTAAAAGAAACCTGCTTTCCAGGAGTCTCATGGGATCATAGATTTAGGACTTGATGGGACCTTAGTGGGACCTTAGAAATTGGGAACAATGTGCTGAACATGAAAAGCTTGATCATAAATTGAGTCTTCTTTGTGGGGAGATGGAATTTAGCAGAGATTGGAGGGGGATACTGACCTCTGGATTTGTTACTGTGGTGACCACAGGTCTGTAACTTAAGAGTTGTCCCAGTGTCACTGAGATTGACTGTTACTTAGCGGTGTACCAGTGGTCGTGGAGCTGGAAAGTCAGTCTCAGAAACAGGATCCTGGTTCCAGGTCCGGTACTCTATCCACTCTCCCACATGGCTTTTCTTTTTATAAGTAATAAAATGAGAGGAAGAGATGAAAAATAACTGGCAAGAGATGGTGAGATACAGGTGATTATAGAAGAAATACTGACATTGACAAAACTTTTCCTTTTGAAAAATACATTTATTTTGAACTTTTTCTATATTTTATCAGAGCAGGAGCAAAAGCTTTAAGGAACTGTGGGGTAATGACAATGTTTGTTGCATAATTCATAGTTTTTTGAGAATCAATATTAAGAATTTATTAGCTGCTATTCTTAATGCACATAGTAAGTCAGAAATTTGTTTTATCTTAAAACTAGATATGCAGAAAATGGGGGTTTTGTTTTTTACTTGTAAAGGGCAAAGATCTGATGGATACTTTGATTAATAAAAGTATTTTTTTAACAGATTGTTACAAATGTAAGAAATACATTACATGGCTTCAAAAAACTTCATGGACGGTCTTTTGATGATCCCATTGTGCAGACTGAAAGGTTCAAGCTTCCCTATGAGCTTCAGAAAATGCCAAATGGAAGTACAGGAGTTAAGGTACCTACCCAGGGCAGTAACTCGATAACTAATAATTGAAAAATCACGAGGCAGACATTCTGCTTATTCACATTTTCTCAGCAGCTCAAATAGTTTCGCCTAGATTTCGGTTCCTTTCTATGTAAGTGGTAAAAAGCACGTAGACTTTTTTGAATAAGGTTTTTAAGAAGGCAAAAATATTTCTGATTATTATCTTGCTTAATTTAATAATAAAACTGACTTTAGAGAAATTGCAGGGGGAAAGGGAGAATTAGAGCTACAACTAATTATGGAAAGGACTAAACTGGTTTGAAGCTTGCCTTTGAAAAATTTTTTGTAATTATTGCAGAAACATCTTGAGATGTGTTAAAGGTATTAAATAAAGGAAAGCATTTTTGAATAGCATTTGAATAACATTTCTGAATTAAGATTTTTAAAAGCAGGTATTAATGTTTACTTTGCAAAAAAAGGAACATTACGTTTACAGCTATTGTGTGTGGAGTTATTTATGTTATAATATAGCCGTGGTACTAAAATACCTTCTCTTGGTTTCTTTTAACTTAGCAATATTCAGCTTCCTGAGTATTGCTTTGTTTTTTATTATTGAAATTCATGTTGTCTTAATCTCTTTTCTGTAGAAGTTTTAAACATATATTTTGTGAGGAAAAGTACCCTGAAGTCATGCAGATGTAGTAAGTTCTAGTTAAGACTCACCTAGCACAGAGTTGATAGTTTTTATTTTATATTTTTCTTGCCTCTGTTATTAAAAAATAAAAGCAACAAATATCTTCTTTGTGAAAACGGAGGAAAAAAATGAGGAGTGAATGATAAGTCTTTTAAAAATCATTTATGCTGAAATGAATCTTCTAAAGATTAGGTTTGTATTTCAAGTTCTTACGTAGTTTATCCATTTATTTTTTAGTTTTCTGAATTTAACTTGATAGGCTCATTAAATATTTATTTATTTTGCTCACTGACATTTTCCTTTGCTTTCAGGTTCGGTACCTAGAAGAAGATAGGCCTTTTGCGATCGAGCAGGTCACTGGAATGCTTTTGGCCAAGCTTAAGGAGACTTCAGAAAATGCTTTGAAGAAGCCTGTGGCAGACTGTGTGATTTCAGTAAGTTGTACCCTATTTTACTTTGATCAGGTATTCTTGGATTAACACCTTCCCCACTGGGCTGTTGGGAGGTTCAAATGAGATGAGTTACGTAAAGTGCTGGTCTTATTTAATGTTATTCTTTTTGTTGGATTAGTGTCCTGCATGTTATACACTGCAGGTATCTGGTTCTTTTTTCTTTTTGTTCGTGTTCTTCACCCAGTAAATGACCACTGAATCCAGTTAGCTTCCTTTTCATGTGCAAAGGGCTGGAATGTAAGAATATCTTGAAGGACCAAGCTGTGTCCATTGACAATGCAGAGCCTTTCATTTTGTTTTTTTTTATCCACAAGGCAAAGAAAATAGAGATATGATGAAGTTTTTTTACTTCAAAGTAAAGTGATGTTAAATTTTTTTCCTTTGGGTTACGTGTCTGGTCTTTGTAGTGTTAAGAAAAGGGAGAAAAATTGTCATTTTTGTATAGCTTGAAGTTTTTCAACATGTCGGTCATGATTAGCCAATAGATCTTGGTGACTTCAGTGGCTGCCTCCCCAAGAGTACATCCAGTATACCCACCCCCTTCTCCGAAACCTCTGCACCACCAGGTTTGGCCCTGCCCCAGCCTCCCCAAAAGTTATCAACAAAAGCGGGTCCTTTTAGAAACTGGGATTTTCATAGGACATACACATTCATACCATTCTAGAGCACAAGCCCTGTGCTCTAGAAGCTAGATCACCATTTACTTTATAGGCCTTCATAATCAGTGGGGCTGGATTCCCTAAAGCAAGTCTGAGATGGGAGAAAGCTTCATTTGTGCTTTAGACCACAAGGTGCTGTTTGAGGCAGTGAAGCAGTCATTTGTTGACTGCTCTCCCACAGTGGCATAAAAGTGTTCTTTTCTGTGAAGTACCTGACTGCCTTCCTCTAAGGAGCTGACTCACTGAGTGAACCTTGTTCTATGAAAATCATGATGTATGCAGTGAAAAGAGGGCTGGGTTTAGTCACGGGGCTTGGGTTCAGATCCTAGCTTGGGGAAGTCACCTTTTTTGGGCCTCAGTTATTTCCACTATAAAATAAGGGGGGATTAGATGATCTTCAGGGTCCCTTCTATCTCTACATCTGTGATGCTCTGATGGGTCCTTTTGGAGTGGGGATGGGGAAATTAGTTGCATGTATCATCGCTACCGAATTTTGACTACAATACCATATCGATGCACTGGGTGGATTATGGAAGACATCTTTGGTTCCGCCATTCTTCTGTTAGTTTCCCATCTTCTCATCTGGTCACTTGTGTACAGTTAGGGGTGCTGGGAGCCAGTGCCAATCTTGCAGCAGCACCCCAGGTTTTGGGGAGGGAGGGAAAGCCCCTGGAGGGGTGGTGAGACCTCGACTGGAGCAGGGGAGAACACCAGGAAGGGCTGATGAGCTTTCCTCCCCTCCCCACTTCACTCTCTTCTCTTCTTGAGGACGTCCTTAGGAGGATGTAAGCCTTGAGGGCAGAGTGAGGAGCTTCTCCTTTGTGTATCTTCCCGGTGCTGTCCTCGAGGTTGGTGGCTTAATGAAAGTCTGTCTCTTTCCTGGTTAGAGATGAGGAAACCAAATCCCCGAGAGGTTGATTGACTTGCCCAAGGTCACGCCGGTGGTAACTGTGAGAGATGGTCCTGTGACATGGGAGGCGCTTATTGAGCGATGAGGCCATGGCCCAGGCAGGCCCTTAACACTCTGAAAGATGTTGCTGCCCTTCCTTCGCTGGACTTGAGAATGGGATCCAATAGTCAACCCAGCAGCTCAGCCTCTTCTTTTCTTTAGACAAAAAGGGCTAGGAGGAGAGGGCTGCAGTAGAGAAATCAGTGCAGGGGCTGTTTCATCTTCTCATAGGGTAGCTAGCTTCTTTAGAAAGCAGGTTAGTCGTCCCTAGCTTTAAGACCTCTAGGTATCAGAGCTTAGCATTATCAAAAATATCATTTTTATTTGATAGCGGAGTGGGGCCTATAATTTTGCTCTTAATTTTGAGATCCTTCTCAAATTTGATGGCTTATTGAGAATGTTTACTTTTTTAAATTTAAAAAAAATTTTTTTTATAAATTAATTTATTTTGATTTATCAACAATCATTTTAAATTTTTCTCCCCCTCCTTCCCCAAGATGGCGCACAATCTGATATAGGCTATACACATACGTTCCCTTTAAACATATTTTCACATTAGTCACATTGTAAGGAAGAATTAGAACCAATAGAAGGAACCACAAGAAAGAGAAAACAAAACAGAAGGAAAGAATAGCAAATAGTATGCTTCGGTCTGCATTCGGTCTCCATAGTTCTTTCTTTGGATGTGGATAGCATTTTCCATCATGCAACTTTTGGAGATGTCTGAGATCCTTGCATTGCTGAGAAGGGCTACGTCTATCAAAGTTATTGCACAACGTGGCTGTTACTCTGTACAACATTTTCCTGGTTCTGCTCACTTCACTCAGCATCAGACCATACAGGTCTTTCCAGGTTTTTCTGAAGTCCGCCTGCTCATCATTTCTTATAGCACAATACTATTCCATTACATTCATATGCCACAACTTGTTCAGCCATTCCCCAATGGATGGGCATCCCTCAGTTTCCAAGAGAATGTTTACTTTTTAAAGAAAGGCTGTGTTGCTACTTAAACAGTGTCCCTGTTCTTAAACTTATACTATGGCATGGAGTACTAAGGCTCAGAAATCATGACATCTTCTATCAGGAGAACATGTATTAGGGTTGTGCAAATAAGATCATAATATAAAATTTCAGGCTTTACTAAAAAAAAAAAAAGTTTGAACATCATAGTGTTCCAGCTCTGTAGGAGAATTCATGGACACATACCTCATATTAATTTATATTAATTAATAGATTCACATCAAAGTAGTCAATTACTTTCATTCAAATATACCTACCTAGGGCAGCTAGGTGGCTCAGCGGATAGAGCACTGGCCCTGAAGTCAGGAGGACCTGAGTTCAAATCCAGCTTCAGACCAAACACTTGACACATACTAGCTGTGTGACCTTGGGCAAGTCACTTAACCCCGATTGCCTCACTTTAAAAAAAAAATGCAAATATACCTACCTTACTTGGATTTCTAAAACATAATTTAGAGTGAAACTTTATATAAGCTAGTTCCCGGAAGGCATTTGTAAAATGTTGCTGTTTATTAAGTCTGACTTTTCAGTGGTGCGTATTTTTGAGCAAAATTCATTGGTAATTGGATAGATCAAAGAGTTCTAATTTTCAGCGTTTGGGCAGGCTTTAGTTATTTAAATTAAATTCTAAAATATTTTATTGTGGAATTAGTAACCCCCAGCAAAAAGAAACATAAATAAAATTTAAGGGGCAGCTAGGTGGCTCAGTGGATAGAGCACTGGCCCTGGATTCAGGAGGACCTGAGTTCAAATCCAGCCTCAGACACATAACACTTATAGCTGTGTGACCCTGGGCAAGTCACTTAACCCCATTGCCTAGCCAAAACAAAAAATGAAATAAAATAAAATAAAATAAAATTTAAAAATTAAAAACTCCACACTTCTTTTATGCAAACCATTTCCACATTAACCATTTTGCCAAAAAACAAAAAGCAAGAAATTGTAAAGAAATTGACTCAGAGTTCATTAATTCTCCCTCTGGAAGTGGATAGCACTTTTCATCATGGATCCTTTGGAATTGTCTTGGATCACTGTATTGAGCAGAGTAGCTAAGACTTTCACCGTTGATCATTGTTAGAATATTGATGTTACACACTTATTTTTAAGAGAATTGGAATTTTAACATCTAGGTGGCACAATGGATAGAATACCAGTCCAGGAGTCAGGAAGACCTGAGTTCAAATTTGGCCTCAGACCATTGCTAGCTGGGTAACCCCTGGGCAAGTCACTTAATCCTGTTTGCCTCAGTTTCCTCATCTGTAAAATATGGATAATAGCACCTACTTCCTAGCATTGTCATGAGGATCAAATGAGATAATTGTCAGGAACTTAGCACAGTGCCTGGCACATAGTAAGAACTTTATAAATATTAGCTGTTACCTTTGTCATCATCATCATCATCATTATTAATTTGAATAAGATATTGTAATAAGATTTTATTCTTTAGCTCCTTTGGACCTTGTCTCAGTGTATTATGTTTGTTTGGAAATTAAATCACTTTCATGTTCTGTTTTCAGTTCGTTTTTAAGTTCTGTCCAAATCATTTTAGGATATATATTTCACGATTTTAACAAGATTTGAGTAATTTTTTCCTCATTTAATGAGCCTCAGTGGATTCTTGACATGTTGCCTTCATATGTATAATCAGATACATCCATTATTTTGCCCTTTGCTTAACTGAAACCTTAAAGGTAAACTGTGTGACATAGAACTATTGTATTTACTCACTGTTCCTAAAATTCCAGATTCCTAGTTTCTTCACCGATGCTGAGAGAAGGTCCGTGATGGCAGCCGCCCAGGTCGCCGGCTTAAATTGTCTAAGACTGATGAACGAAACCACTGCAGGTAAACAATGAGAAAGTCATTGGCAAAAATGTGCGACTGATTTTTTTTTCTAACGAGTGCAATGAAGTTGGTTAGCCTTAAGACTTAGCACGAATGTGCTGATTTCATAAGGATTTTAGCTGGGAGTAGGTAACTGCCAGTTTGAGCAAAATGTCTTTGGATGTCTCGGTGGTTGGGGTGTTGTGTGTGTTTTTTTCTTTAATGTTAAGGGGTGCTACAATGTTGTTGGTCAAGGTGTAGAATGGAATAAAGTATGAGTTGGCAGATTACCAAAAATAAATTCACTCCCTTCGTGAATAATAATGTGTTCTTTTTGCATTAAATTTCAAACTATTAAAATAATTTAGTGGTACTTGATCTCCAAGATGGCTGAAATTCCAAAAAAATTTTTTTGTTTTTACAGTTGCACTTGCGTATGGAATTTATAAGCAAGATCTTCCACCTTTAGAGGAGAAACCAAGAAATGTCGTATTTATCGATATGGGGCATTCTGCCTACCAAGTTTCAGTTTGTGCTTTTAACAAGGGAAAACTTAAGGTAAGTGAGAGATTTTCTACATTCGATTATTATTCTCTTACTAAAAATGAGTCCGTGTAATTGGTTTAATAAAAGGTAGTATACAGATAAAGTATTTATTATGCACTTATTCCGTGTGGATACTGTTAAACATTGGGGCTTTGGATACAGGCGAGCCAGGCTTGCCTTCCAGGAGTTTACATTCAAGTATGGAAACACAGCACATTAAGGGACCCTAGAAAAGGGGAATTGGGAAGATGCTAAGGCCAGGGAGGGTCGAGGAGGGACGAGAGGAGCGGGAGATGATAGCTGATGTGCAGGCAGAGGGCTCACCCCCTGAGCTGGCACCCTAGGGGCTGAGTCCAGGGTTGGGGGGTGGCTCTGGTGCAGATAGCGATAGAAGGTCATTTAAGATGAAATAGTAGTAGAGGCAGCTAGGTGGTGCAGTGGATAGAACACCCACCTTGGAATCAGGAGGACCTGAGTTCAAATCCGGCCTCAGACACTTGACACTTAATAGCTGTGTGACCCTGGGCAAGTCACTTAACCCCATTTTTGCCTCACCAAAAAAGCAAGAAAAAGAAAAAGAAGATAGTAGTGTGCCTTTTTATGATAGAAGGGGTAGGAACTGGCCTTGTGACTTCACCGATGTAGGGATTCTCTAGAGGAGAAAACCCTTAGGCCGATGCAGGTCAGCACTTCCTCTGTAACTTGTGGTCTTAGGAAATGGCCCAGGCCACTGAGGGGTCAAGCGACTTGACCAGACTCCCCAAATGAGGAGGTATGGGGAGCCTGAACTCAAGTGAATTTTTATGGGCCCTAAGGCCGACTCCCTACACACCCTGTCTCGAGACTGGACCTGTGCCTTCATTGGCACAGTCCCCTCTCAGGCAGGAGGCTTCCTCCTCTGCTGCTCACAGATTCCAGAGGGATCCAGTGGTAACTTGAACCCTGGTTTTAACTTCAAGGTTTACTCTAGTCACCAGACCATGTTACTTTTCCTTAATGTTCTTTCTGGGAATGCTTTAAGCGGGAGTTGATGGGCATCATTTTTTTCTATCTTTATATTATACTTTTATACATCATAGTTTATTCGTTTTACCAGGCTCACACTTTAGAGGCTTAGGCTTTCTCACTTTCCAAACATATTTCTTTGGAAAGTGTTTCAAGACACACAAGATGCATTTCTTAAGCACTTAACCCTGGGGATGGCCCTGCACTGTGCTCAGCACTGGAGTGAAAGCAGTCCCTGCCCTCAGGGTATGTTCAGTCTTGGGGGGGGGGGCGGCAAGGTGTCGTTGCCCCCATTTAGATGAGGAAACTCAAGCTGAAGGTGTGAGCCTCGCCCAGAACCGCACAGCGAGTGAGATCCCCATCAGGTTCCCTAGGTGTCCCCCTGCACCTCTCATGCTCTTATTATCATAGCGTTGTTGCTAAGATACTCTGTCTCTTGTGTCTTTATCCGTAGCTCTGTGTTCTTTACTGTTTGGGTTGACTTTGCTACTTCATTATTATTTGAGTTTTAACAAATTCTGAATAAAATGAGCGTTTTTATATACATTGTGAATAGGACAAGAGAATTTGTACATGAATCTGTGAATCTCTTATATAGACCTTGCTTTTCTTTTTAAGTATATTACAAATTCAATATGTAACTTTTTTCCAAATATTAACGTTCATTTTTTTAAAATTTTGAGTCCCAAGTTCTTTCCCTCCCTCTCTCTCCTCCTCCCTCATTGAGAAGGCAAGCAATTTCATATACATATGCAGTCATGCAAAATATTTCATACTAGTCATGTTGTGAAAGAAAACAGAGACAAACAAAACATGAAGAAAGGGGTGCTTCGATCTGCATTCGCGCTCTACCAGTTCATTCTCTGGAGTTGGATAACATTTTTCATTACAACATGTAACTTTTAAAGCTGTATTGCCTGTGATTCCTTCTGGTTTTCTGTTCTCTTACTTTTTTGCAGGGTAGATAGGGAAGAGGGGGTGGGGAGAAGGAACCATAACCTTTCTCCCCCCTCCCCCCCAATTCTCGTGTCTCCATTGTTTTCATTATTGCTGGCTAGGAGGTTGCTTCTTTGGCACTAAATATCTTTATGTTGCCCCCCCCCCCCCCGAGCTCTTCTAGAAGTTTAAGAATATATACCAGATTACTTACAATAAAACCTTAGTTATTAAAATTATCTTGAAATCGAAGGGTTTCTTTGAGCTGTCGTGTGTATTAGGTTATGTATTTTATTAAAAAAACTTGACTTGAGAATAAGGACACTCTTTTTGAAACCTAGTTTTTGTACTTTTTCTAAGACTTAGGATAAATTATTTGTCTAACTTTTCTAGTAAATATTACCTATATTCCTTACATTTGTATTCTTGAAAGCAATTTCTTAGTAAGTTATAATTCTTAGGAGAATTATCTCTTGAATAATTCTTTAGAATCAGCCGTAGATGAATTAAAAATTAGTGCTTCTGTGGGTTGAATTTGTAGTGAAAGTGACAGTGAATCTCACGAGCCAAAGAAATAGATTTGAAAGCTTGGTACTTAGACGTAGCATGCCATCTTTTTTCCTTCTCATTTTTTTCTCGTTATGAACTTGACAAACATCAAACGTCATGAACTTTTCCATTCATGAAGAGCTGGAAAAAAGGTTGTATATGAAACCATGAACTTCTTTCGTAGATTTTTTAAAAGACTCTCTTCAGCTTAACAGCATCGTACCACCATTCCTGCACTTGTCTGTGGCCTCTTCGGCACTTCCTTCTGCTCTCTTCCGTGTGTCTTCCCCCATCCCCACTTTCCTTGTAGAGCTTGGCCTTCTTCCCAAGTGAAAGCCCGCCTGCATAACAAATAAGTTCATGTATCAGCTGTGTCTGAAGATAGTCCATCCTCTGACAAGTGGTGGGGTAGCCTACTTTCCATCAGCCGTCTGAGTCGAGGTTGCCCTCTGCATTAGTCAGAGTCTGAAAGTCTTTCAAAGCTGTTTTCCTTTTTGATGCTCATGTAGTCACTGTATAAATTGCTCTCCTGTTATGTGCTCCCTTTGCTCTGATTAGTTAATAGGAATCTTTCCAGGTGTTTCTTATTTCTAATGGTACAATAAGAATCCATGACATTTTTGATGGCATGAGCCGTTCCCCAATTTGATGGGCGTCCCCCTTGGTTTCCGTTTCTTTGTTAAAACAGAAGGTGCTGCTTGTTCTTTCTCATTTTGTAGCCTTTGGTTCCAGTGGCGGTAATTCTTTGCAGTTACATTACTGTGACCATTGTGCATGTTGTTTGCTTTTCATGCTTCTTCATATCTGTCGTAGTCATCATTTCTTATAGCACAGTAATACCCCGTTCTATTCATGTACCATAATTTAACTTCCCAATCTATGGGCATCAACTTTTTACTGTTCTTTTCTACAACACAACATGATGCTATAAATATTTTGGCATATATTTAGAGCTGTTCTTTTTGTCAGTGACCTCTTTGTGGTATATGCTTGGCAGTAGAATCTCTGGGGGGGCAGGTAGGTGGCACCGTGGGATAGAGCACCAGATCTGGAGTCAGAAATACTCATCTTGATGAGTTCAAATCTGGCCTCAGACAGTGTGACCCTGCACAAGTCACTTAGCCCTGTTTATCTCAGTTTTCCTCATCTGTAAACTGAGCTGGAAAAGGAAATGGCAAACCACTGCTGTGGTTTCTGCCAAAAAATTCCCAAGTAGGGTCACAAGGAGTCAGTCAAATCTCTGAATCAGAGGGTATGATCATTTTCGTGGCTTTCTTTACATAATTACAAATGGCTTTCCAGAATACATATACTAATTTGCAGCTCTACCAACGGTGCATTAATGTGCCTATCTTTCCACAGCTCCTCCAGCATTGACTGTTTCCCTCTTCTGTCATCTTTGCTGAATGTGAGGTGAAACATCAGGGTGATTTTTGATCGGCATTTCTCTTATTATGAGAAATCTGGGTTCATAGCCTTGGACCACTTACCTATTGAGGGATAGCTTTTGGTCTGTGAATCTTGGATACCAGACCCTTATTTGAGAAATTTGACTCAGAGATTTCTTTTGTCAGTAGACTGTTTTCCTTTTCTTGGATGCATTAATTTTGTTGTTGCTAGAAGTTTCACGTAATCAGAACTCTCTCTTCAGTAATTTCCTTTGTTCCTTCTGTGGTTAAGAATTCATCTCTTACCCACAGTTGTGAAACATCCATGACCTCTGCTAATGTTTTTATGGTGTGATCTTTAATATGCAAGTTGTGTATCCATTTTGAATTTATTATGGGATGTGGGGTAAGATGTTGATCCAGGCCTAATTTCTGCCAGACTACTTGCCAGTTGCTGTGTTCTTCACCCCAGTAAATGAGAGTTTTTGAATGCTGTATACCTAATCTTTCCTGTTTTAAAACCCATGCCCAAGAGTTTTAATAGTTATAATCGCAGTGTACAGTTTGAGACATGGTACTGCAGCCTGCTCCTGCTCTACTTTTTCTAGCCTTTCCCTTGGAATTCTTGACCTGTTGTTTCGTATGTGTGTGTTCTACAGTCTAACCTCTTGGTGGTATGCGGCACTGAATAATAGGTTAATTTGATTAGTGTCATTTTTAATCATAGTGTGGTATCACCCAACCAGTTATTCAGGTAGCTCTTTGTTTAACTCTTGCTGCTGGGTTGTGTAGGTTTGTTTCATATGCTGCTACTTTACTGTAGTTGTTAAATGTTCTATTTAAGTTGTAGTCATATCTTTAGGAAACCGTGCCATCATCTGCACCAAGTGATCATCTTATTTACTCTTCTGCTGTGCTTATTCCATAACTCCTTTTCTTTTTCTTGTCTCAGTGTACTATCTCCAATTGCTAGAAGTAGAATGAGAGAAGGCTGGAGAATGGGGAGCTGCCCAGAGCAGCGGCACATGCTCCCTCCTTGATCTGTGCATCACCTTTTAAAAAGCCAGGAGATGATCCTAAATAAACTTATCTGATTTTTACTTATCTTTTCAAAGCACAGAGGCTTTTTGTTGTTTTTTCCTCCAGCAAAACAAGCATTTATTGCCAGTATAACAGTTTAAGTGGCTGCTTTGAGAACATGTGTAAAGTATTTGATAAATACTGTTCTTCACATTACCAAATAATACAATTAAAGCTATTCTCATTTAATTCTCTTTTTTTAAATTAACCAGGTCTTGGCTACTACTTTTGACCCGTACCTGGGCGGCAGGAACTTTGATGATGCTTTAGTAGATTACTTCTGTGACGAGTTCAAGGCAAAGTATAAATTAAATGTGAAAGATAATTCTCGAGCCCTGCTGCGCTTATACCAGGAGTGTGAAAAACTAAAGAAATTGATGAGTGCGAATGCGTCTGACCTTCCTTTGAACATCGAGTGTTTCATGAATGACCTTGATGTTTCCAGTAAAATGAACAGGTGCTTTTCAATTCCCAGAGTGTTTGTTAATTTGATATTTGGGTCACTTAAGATTTCTTCATTCTGATGCTTCAGAATACCCTCTGCTCATCCTTTTGTCTTTGCCTAATACTCTGATTTTTTTTCCACAGGGGTCAGTTTGAACAGCTTTGTGTTTCTCTCTTGGCCAGAGTGGAACCACCTTTAAAAACTGTAATGGAACAAGCAAGTAAGTCGGCAATAGTCTGATGGCCATGCTGTCTCTCTTGCCAGTGTGGGCAGTCGTGGGTGGAAGTGGGAGAAAGGCTACATGATAAAAATGTGATAGAAGATTGCTGTTCCTTCTTGGGGGGAGGAGTGGTAGCTTAGGCAGGAGCTGTGATTGAGTTTTCTGGTCCCATAAAAGTAAATGACTAGAAGTCTGAGGGCATTATTTCATAGTGACTAAATTATGATTTTGGTGACAAATCGACTGTATTAGAAAAGCAGGCATTTGCTTGTTAAAACTTGAATATTCTTATTGTTGTCTGAAAATAACTTAATGTAGAACTTCCATGGTCACTAACACATCGCCTTTATTTTTAAACATTTCTGAAAACTGTTTCAAATAAAATTGCAGAGCATCCCCCTCCAATGCCAGATGTGAACTGAAGATCTTTTTAGGTGAGAAAACAAAGGAGGTGGAAGCCGGGGTCACCCCTCCCCTTGGCCTGTCCCCTGTAGTCCAGCTTTCTCAGTTAACAGAGGAAGGAGGTCACATAGGTACCAAATATCCAAACCAGAACTTGAACCCTGACCCTTTTCTTTCTGTGTTGTGGTTTAGCTTTACTCACAGTGCTTGTCAGTCACGGGGCCCCTCATTCTCATGACTAAAACCTATTCACATTTCAGTTGTATGATGTTACAAGTCTTTTGATGTATTATTCTGTGTGAACATGTAAATAGGTTGCCCGTAGAGGAGTGGTTTTGGTGAAAGTGACCTGACCTCTCAAGGGCTTTATCGTAGCAGATTGTGACTTTTCCTTATGGTCAAGTCTGGTTTCTTCTAATCCTTTTTAAATCCCAGGCAGAGTCTTGTGCCCATATCTTTGACTCGGACATTTGATGTGTTTGTTCATCTTTGATCTCTGGTTACCAGTTCATTGTGTGTTTTATAGAATCTGAATTAGAAACAGATTTTTAACAATAATTTGTAGCCAACTGATGTATATATAGAGATACATACACACTTAGTATTTGGCTGTATATGCCAGAAAAAATATTTTAAGGTGATGAAACTAGAACCAAAAAAAAACCTTTCTTTTCTTTTCCAGACTTGAGCCGTGATGATATAAATAGTATAGAAATTGTGGGAGGCGCGACCCGAATCCCTGCCGTGAAGGAGCAGATTGCCAAGTTCTTTCTTAAAGACATAAGCACCACATTAAATGCTGATGAAGCTGTCGCAAGGGGGTGCGCACTGCAGGTACGGGGGCTGCGCACATGCGAGGCCAGCTGTCCTGCAGGTGGGGCCTCCTCGGGGGTTGGGGTTGTCATCACACACCCAAGTGCCCATCCTGATGGCGTGGGCAGATAGCCCCGCCTGAATGCCACTTTGCTCATGTGTAAAATGGGGCTAATGACATCTGCGCGACTTGCTTCAGGGCGTTGTTGTGAGCAAAGTCCTCTGTAAACCTCAGGAGCCCCGAGAGGGCCTTGTTAGTGGTGGTCCTCTCCTGGGATGCTGCGTGCCCAGGCATTGTGCTAAGCACCAGGAGTACAAAGAAAGGCGTTCTCGTGGGGGAGATGGCGTCCACATAGCTAGGTACCAGTTCCTGCCACAGAGAATCAGCCACATTATGTGGGAGCCAGGAGTTTGGACCATTCCTCTCTTGCTCCTGCACAGGGCTGTACACTACGTTTGGGTCTTGTCAGTTTGAGATGATAGGTAGAAAGTTTGTACAGAGTGGATGGAAGGTCATCTGAAAGGGTAGGGACTAGCGAAGGCCTCCTGCAGCAGGTGGCCTGTGGGAGACGAAGAAGTGGGGAGAATACCCAGAGGGGAGCACAGGGTGAGGTCAGGAAGGGCCAGCTTATGAGGAGCTTCAGACGCCAGAGAGGAGATGTTATGTTATATTTCATCCAGGAGGAAATCAGGAGGGTGACCAAGGTGGTCTAGGAAAAGTGAGAGGTGGGCTTGGAGCCTAGATCCTCCGGCTCCAGGTTCACTAATTCATTTAAATATAGTTCACGAGCTGTGGTGATGTGGTGACTCCTTCAAATCTCATGCGTGCTAGACCGTATTGTCATGTTTTAAACCAGCAGGAATGATGTCTGGCTCTGTGTTTCAGTCTCTGCTGGCACCTTCTTGCTTTGAGACGTCTTGTGATAACGTGTACAGAGGACTGGCCTTGGAGTCGAGAAGACCAGGGCTCAGAATCCTGCCCATGACTCTCATAATTATATGACCATTTACTAACCCCTCCGAGCCTCAGTTCCTGAGCTTCTGAGTGTAACAGCGAGGACTCGGGCAAATTCCGCTCCTCCTTGTCTTTTAAGGAACATCAGAATAATATTCATTGTATCAGTTTTGAAGGAAGACAGATTGACCCAGAGGAACTAATTCTTACCAGAAGTAACTTGCAAATACACTTCAGGTTTTAGTTACCACACATACTTTATTGAACCATTTCTTTAAAATAACACAGCCATGAATGGTATTTTTCCTTTGTGACTTACACTGGTGTTTTATTTTTCAGTGTGCAATTCTTTCTCCAGCCTTTAAAGTTCGTGAGTTTTCCATCACGGATGTTGTTCCCTATTCAGTAACATTAAGATGGAAGTCATCTTTTGAGGATGGAACTGGGTAAGTCTGTCTTTAAACTTGTGTTTAGAAACTAGTACATCAGTTAAATTAATTGAGCCTCAGTTTTTTAAACTGAAGAGTTAAGACATCAGGAAATCAGAGCATTCAGAACAAGGGTTAAGCAAAAATATAAGAGTGTAGAAAATAATAGCACTAATGATTATTTTGATGAAGGTTTGGTTTTTTTTTTTTTAGGGCTGAACAAGGAAAAAAATAGCAAAATGTAGGGTGTCAAATCCTATTTTAACTACATATATGTCCTGTTTTAAGAAAATAAGTCTCACAATTACTTATTCTAATTTTATATTTTTATATTTCTCAAACAGTTAAATAAGGGACATTTGAATTTGTTTATTCTTATTATCATAGGTCTTCTCCCAGGTTTATTTAAATTTTAAATAGCATGTTTTCCAACTTAAATTAAGTTTCCTGTCTTGCAAAATGAGGTACATCTGTATAGAGTAAGTAAAACAAGTTAAAATTTAACATTTAAAATTTTCTCCAGCCTACCAAAGAGCCATTCCTTTAATTCTCCAGTAAATTCTGAAAGAAAAAAAAACTTAACTTTTTTGAGCTTCCTTACCAGACTTTACTGTCTTGGAGAGGGTAGTATTTTATTTAGCATTTTTACTCTTTCAGCTGTTACAAGTTAAATTGGCTTTTTTTTGTGACTCCCTTCTGGTCAGTGACCTGTGTTTTAGTCCCCAGTGCCTGGCACATAGTTGATGCTTAATAAATGGCTATTGACTGGTTAATATAACGTTTCTGAGGGAAAATATTTTTGAATTTTATACTATATGAATTTTAGAATATAATTTACTTGTTAAGGACAGCCTAAATATACCTGTCCCCGTTCTTGCAAAATCCCATCAAATTTCTTTTATAGGATCATAGATCATAGTCCCTCAGGAAGTCATCTAGTCCAGTGATCTCCAAAGTGGGAACTGGCCTGATACCACCTTCCAATGGTTATATGACCAACAGATCAGAAAATGGGATTTGTCTTCAACACAACCAGTATCCATAACACTTCTCCACTCTGTCCACTCACTCCCCTGTGCAAGCTATGGATCATACCCTTTCTTAGCTGAGTGTTGGCCTCTCGGGGCCATTGTAATTTAACCGCCACCCAGACACCTGCAGCAGCAGCTCCCACTGGGAAAAATGTCCCCTTCGGCACTCAGCATCACCCTATGGGTATGGAAAATGCCCCTCAGAGGTCAGGCTCTCAACTCTGGGGCAGTGCAGTGGTTTTGGTAATACGGAGTAAGTTGCATGTTATCAGCAGGCATGGATAGGTTGAGGTATATTTCTGATCTCATTACGTTATCTTTATCTTTACCCTTATTCTTCCTCTAAACTTCTTGTTACTGTCTAAAGCACCATGGTCCTTCCCATTACCCAAGTTTACAACTTAAGCATTCAATTCCTCATTCTCTCTGACCCTACATAACCAGTCTATTGCCAGATCTTGTCATTTTCCTTCTACATCTCTCCTTTCTGTTTTTGCTGTCAGAACTACCAAACTAGGTCAGGCTCTCATCACCTCTCACCTCGGCTATTGTAACAGCCTCTTAATCTGCCTTTCTATTGTCTATTTCATCTTCCACCCAGCTGCACAGATAATTTCCTAAAGCTCAGGTCTGACCATGTTACTCCCCTACTTAGTAAACTTCAGTGGTTCCCCATTACTTGGTCAGCCATACCTCAGTTTTATTTAGGATATATCCCTCACTTAATCTACCATCCATCTCATTCTCCCTTCTCTTTTCCTTCTGTTTTTCCTATTGAGTGACATGTATTTATGTACCAAACGTGTATGTGCTTTCTTTCTTTGACCAGTTCACATGAGAGGGAGGTTCAGGTGTCACCCACTCCATATTGCTTATGTAAGGCCTTCTACTTGGGCATCTTGAAAATGTGAGATAATTTTCCCCAACATCCCTGTCTCTTATATCCTTCCTTGCCCCCTGCCTCCTCCATTCCTCTTCCTTTTTTTCTATTAAGATCATAAAGATAATAACAAAACTAATCCTAAGCCTTGTTTAATTAGATGCTCTCTATGGACCTGATGATGACATGTGTGCTCTCCCAAAATTAGAATGTAAGCAGTTTCATCTTATTTAGTTCCTTTTCATTGTTTACTTCTTGAATACACCTTTGTGTACACTTCAGAGTTTTTCCATAGCTCTGATCTTCATCAGGAATGCTTGGAACTCCTGTTTTGAAAATCCATTCTTTTCCTCTGTAAGATGATGCTTGGTTTTGCTGAGTTAGTTATTTTTGGTTGTAAACCTAGATCCTTTACCTTCTGGATGTTGTATTCCAAGCTCTTCAGTCCATTATTGTAGTGGCTGCTATATCTTGGTATGATCCTTACTGTGGCTCCTTGGTACCTCATATCTTTTATTTCTGGCTGCTTGTAGTATTTTTTCCTTGGCCTGGAAGCTCTGGATTTTGGCTATGCTGTTTTTGTGAGTTTTGTTTTGGTTTCTTTCAGAAGATGACTGATGGATTTCCACGTTTCTCTTTGCTTCTAAGAGATTTGTGAAGTTTTCTTTTAGAATCTCTTGAAAATAGGATATCTAGGCTTTTTTTTTTTAACATCATGGCTATAGAGATTCTTAAATTCCTCCTCTTTTGTTTCCTAGGCCACTTGTTTTTGCTATGAGATGCTTTACGTTTTCTTTCTTTCTTTCTTTCTTTTTTTTTTTAAACTTTGGCTTCTATTTGGTCCATTCCAATTTTCAGAGAGTTTGATGCTTAGGCTTCTTGTGCTTCTTGTGCCAAGCTACTATTTCCCTTTCCAGTGTTTTCCTCTATAGCTTTCATTTCATTGACTAGAAACACTTTAGAACTCTTGCTTCACCTATTCCAAAATTGTAATTGAGCTTATGCCCAAGCTATGCTGTTCTTTGAAACTTTGCTTGAAGGTATGTGGGAGTCATTGTCTTCTTCTGGCTTTGTGTCTTGAATGTCTCTGTCACCGTAATAGTTTTCTATGGCACGTTGGATCTTTTTTTTTTTGCCTGCTCCGTCTTCCAATTTCCTGACCTGAGACTTGATGTTAGGTCTGCCGGATTTCTGCAGGGAAGGTCCGGGCTGGCCCTGTTACTGCTTTCTTGGGGTACTGAATGTTGTGTTGTTCCAGGATCTCAGGGACAGCTTAGGCTGGGGCCCTGCAAGCTTTCGGTGCTCCCAGAGTGTTCTGACCCAGAGCAGAGCGTGATTCCTGCCCCCTTGTCTGAGCTCTACACGTTTCTGGCCTGGGTGTGGGTCTAAGCAAAGGCCAGAGTTCCGGTAAATGCTGCTGGACTCAACCACTCTTCCTCCCTGGAAAGTTCTGCTGGTTCTGAGGCACAGAACTGCAGGCCCTCCATGGTCTGGCACTGCTACTCCACTTATGCTTGTGCAGACTTGAGGCTGAACAGCCCAGCTGCTGCTGGGTCGACTGCCTAGGTCTTGTGACTGCTCCTCGCCCCAGAATGAGCCCCCTAGGCACAGGGTCTCCCCCTCCCCACTTTCCCACTTAGTCTCCCTGGGATCTATGATCCAGAACTGGGTAGTGAGTGCCATCCCTGTCACTTGGCTGTTGTTCCTGGATACTGCACAGGGTTAGGCCCTGCCAGTCTCAGCTGGCTCTGGGGCACCTCCTTGCCTTAGCTTGTGGCCTTGGCACAACATGGACAGACCTTGCCCTAGTGTCTGCAGACCTCTCTGTCTGTCTCCTGGTGCCAACTTGGATGGGGAAACTGACTCCCTGTGATTATCCCCTAAACCCCCAGCCGCCTTGGATTTCCCAATCTGTATTTTCCAGATCAGTTTGAGGTTTCGTTAGGTAGTTACGAAGGCAGTGGAACTTCCCATACTTCTTACTGCTACCCTTGTCCACTGCCCACTAGCTGTCCTTGAGCCACACCCTTTTTCTCGACTTGCATTTTCCCCATTTTAAAATGAGGGTGTTGGATCAAGTTATATTGAATGTCTCTCCCACTGCAATGTTACCATCCTGCAAATAGAGGTAGTGATGCTCCCCCCACCTCCCGATGATTGTAGATGAAGCTTTTTTTTTTTTAATATGCGGAAGAAGGTAGAAGTAAGGTGAGAAGTGGCGGAGTGTTAGATTTGGAGGAGAGAAGACTTGAATTTGAATTCTTCAGACACTAGCTGGATAACCTTGTCTCCTCAGCTCTGCCTGGCTCAGTTTCCTTGTCTGTAAGATAGAAATAATGAAAGCACCTCCTTCAGCAGGGTTTTTGTGAGGTATTTTGTGAGATGACACGTGTATGTAAAGTGCTTTGCAAACCTCAAGACTCAATACAAGTGCTAGCTATTTAGAAAAACCAGCTGTGCAAAGCAGGAGTGGTTCAGAGTTTTACGTGCAGTTCTTTTTCTGTTTTGTATTTGGAGATTTGATGTTTCATGATTATAACGTGATATTCATAATAAAGACTTTTTTTTAAGCTATGATCCTAACACCGTGGGTACTAGTTAGTTGTTTCAGGGTGGGATGGAAGTGGAGAAGGAGGGAGGGTTGGTAGTAGTGGTATTGACACAATTTATGTTTAGGCTTTTTCTTTATCTTGTATGTGATGATCAGTCTGTTCCTTGTTTCAGAAAGATATCAGCATTCAGATATGGATGGACTGATATAATTTATTTAGTATTGTCTTTCAATTTTTGATTATTATAATTATATATTATAATTGTATTTGCAGTGGCTCTACACTTTTTAAAGTTTAAAATGTAAGTGGTTTTATAGTTATGACTCTGAGCATCTATCATTTAACCTAAAGAAAAAATTATTTTCTTTTCCTTAGGGAATGTGAAGTGTTCTGTAAGAATCATCCTGCTCCATTCTCAAAAGTTATTACCTTTCACAAGAAGGAACCATTTGAACTAGAAGCATATTATACCCATCCACATGAAGTGCCTTATCCTGATCCCCGAATTGGTAAGAGAGAATTTGAGAGGATGGTATTTATAAAAAAGAGAAAATTTTTACATCATGATTGATAGGTTGAAATTGATATGGTCCAGGGCTGCGAAACTCTCACAGATTTAACTTAAGTCCTTTCTGCCTTCTAGAAGATTTTATTTTGTGTCCTTTTTGTTTAAATATTGATGGTTCCTTCTGTTTTACATCACCTCTATTTTTGAGTGTATGCCTTTATCTTACTTCCCAAATCCAACCCCTGCCACAAAGAATTAAAAACAGTTAGTAAAACTTAACCCTTTTGAGGAGCCTGACAGCATAGGCAGGGTTCCACACACTGTCTCCCTTTACAAAATAAAGTGACTTAGTACGGATTTCTTAGATGGAGTTCACTGGGCATTTTTGTTTTGTTTACTCTTTTTGAGGGAGTAGATGATATTTATACATAAAATGTGCTGGGTAAGGTTAGGTTATCTGAATCCCTTTGTGATTTGTGAATAGTTTTTAATTTGCTTGTGTCTGAGCCTGTTTAAATGTCCTCGCTTTAAGAAACCGTTCAGCCAAAAAGTAGGTGAAGCCCTGCAGTCAGGTCATTAGTTACATGTTATTGTTTTATCCAAGAGCAGAATTTGCTTTCTTATAATTTAGGCATTTTTAACACTCTTCCCTCTCCTCCCACTTTAACTTTGTGATTAGCAGCATCAGGGGCAAGTACCTTTTGATTAGGACAGAAACAGTACCTGTAGGTGATGTTAGTGAGCTTAAGACCCTGTAACCGTATTTTTCAGCTGTGCCCTTCTTGTGACTAGAAAGTGAAGAAATAAACAGTAGGACTTGACAGATAGTATTTGGAAAGAGTGATAGTCTTGGTAGTTTCTTTAATTATGTACACTTCAGATAGGATTTAAAGTAGATTTTAAAACAGCATCTTAACACATAAAACAAGGTAAATTCCTCGTAGGTAATCCAAATATTAAAAAGTCACAATAAGGAGGAAAATTGGAGGTTTTATTTTTTAAAGTTGTTTCTGCCCAAATCAAATCAATACAGATAGAATTAGAAGGAATCGTGTGGGTTGAGAAAAAAACTTTTCGAATTTAGTATTTCTGATAAAGTATAACATCCAAAATCAGTAAATGACACAAAATATATGATTAAGCCATTTCCCCTTTAGACAAAAAGATAGTTAGAAAGTTTTCAAAAGAAAATGTACAAACTTTATCAGTAACCACCTGTAAAGATGTTTTAAGTTGCTAATACACATAGAAATGCAATTTTTAAAAACCGGAGACATCATCTCAGGTCCATGCTATCCAGGTCGCTGATGGTTCATGGTAATTCACTACTGGTGGAGTTTTGAGTTGGTTCAACAATTCTGCAAAATGATTAGGAATCATTCCACAAAAGTCCCTAAGCTTTTCATGCCCAGAGCTAAATTGTTTGATGCCAAGATTCCAATATTGGGACTGTGTTCCCAGGAGGTTACAGATACAAGAAAGGATTTGTGTGCAGGTGTTTTCATAGCATTATTATTTTAAGGAAAAAACTGGAGAAAAACGTACCCTCAGATCATGATACATGAATGTCATGGAGTATAATTACACCAAACAAAGAATGGTGACTCGGTAAAGAGTTCAGAAAACCATGGGGATACTTGTTTTCATGGGATAAAGGAGATGCCTGAATGCAGAAAGCAAAGTCAGAAAAATACATACTCTTAACAATGCAAAAAAAGTCAGCTTGGAAAAAAAAAACCACAAAACTGGTCAAATACCTTGGTCACTGTTGTAAACATGGGTGAAGGTCACAGTAACCCTCCTTTCTGTAAAATTATAAACTGTGAGGAAATCTTTGTTTTAAGGAGGTTTGTTTGGTGTTGAGGAGATACTGGTTGAGTCAAAGCAAAAATATCAAATATCAATCAATTTCAAATGCTATCATAATGATTTTCAGTGGAGAGAATTCAGTATAAACCTGTTCTCGGTGGAGAATTAATCTTAACATATTTACAAATCTATGACCAAGTGATACCTAAGACATGCTCATTGCTTGCTGCTTTGAAATAATGTTATCTTAAATTATGCCACAAAATATAATGGAAAAACCCTTGAGTTTTTATTAGTACTTGGGGTAGAAAGTTTTAACGGAGCAACATGAGAAATGTTTTTTCCCCTTAAAAGGAGGGTTTGGGACAGTGGACCTGACTTTGAAGACCAAAGCCTTTCCGTAACTGATTTGGCTAACTGGTCTGTAGTCTTTTTCCATTCTAATTTTAAATAGAAGAATGGAAAGTGAATGAATGTAAACATGGGGAACAGAGTTGTCTCTGTAGGATTAGTAATTCATTCAAACCCAGCTATCCTGTAATGGTAGAGATGCTGAGATTTGGGGATGGCTTCTCTTGATTTTTTTTTTCCAGGCCTTACGTTGACAGTTTTAGAATCTGTTAGCCTTTGTGGAATACCAGGATTGTGATATTTACCATCTTCAGGGCGTTGTTTTTGAATAATAATAATAACTCAGACTATGTTGTGTTGATTGCAGAGTCATCCTAAGATGCTAGAATTTCAAACACATTATGACCAAAGCTTTATAACCTTCTTTCCCCTGAAGGGAACTTCACTATTCAGAATGTTTTTCCCCAGTCTGATGGTGACAGTTCCAAAGTGAAGGTTAAAGTACGTGTTAATATCCATGGTATCTTCAGTGTGGCTAGTGCATCGGTAATTGAGAAGCAGAGTTTGGAAGGGGATCACAGTGATCTACCTATGGAAACAGAGTCATCATTTAAGAATGAAGGCAAAGATGAGATGGTAGGTAAAAATGCCCTTTCAACACTCCTATATTAGACAATATTTCTAGTATCGTAGTAATGAACAATAGTATTTTAAAAGCAATCTATTTGAGATAACATTATTTAGAGTCTGAATTTTGAAGTATTGAGCTGAAAGTTTGCAGAATTTCTCTGCTTATGAGAATCACCAGGTAACAGTATCTTCAAAATTTTAAGACTTTTTTAGGGGATAATATATTTTTCTTCTTAAGTTCTAGATTGTTCACTCCACATCCCATATACTGTGACCATAGCTGGTTTTTCCTCCTAAGGACAACTTTTAAAACAGTGTACTTCATAATGGGCTAGTTTTTTAGTTTCCATTAATGCTGAAGCACTTATGTAGACATATTTAGACTAAAATTTGATTTATTCAGATTTCTTAGATGTGTGCTAAATAAATTGGAATGGCTTTTTGGTATTCCTAGTTTGGAACAATTATTAGGACGAGGAGGAATTAGCTTGGGAACTTTTCACTTATGTACAGTTATGAGGACTAAAGTTCAGTTTTTTCAGACTTGTTCATTTGTATTTCATCTTGAAAGTAAATGCTTAGAATGGACTTGCCATTTTAAGGATCGTGTTTTTGTTTATTTTGCTGTTATTAACATAAAACCTTTCTAAAAGTGGTCAGTCCAGCAAATGTCTCATAAGCACTTGACAAGGCACCACACAAAACCGCTAGCGGATCTGCAGGAGATACCCTGAGGATACAAGACCTAAACCAAGGACCAGTGCCTCCCTTCAGGGACATCAGTTGTGCAGAAAGATGCCGCCTCTCACCTTTGCAGGGCATCGCTTAGGCTAAACTTTAAATGATTGTTTTCATCTGAGGACTGCGACCTTTTTCTTTCCTGGTTCTGTTTGCACCATAAAACTGGGCTAGTAAACTGGTCATTGGCTCTTAGGAAAGTTCAGAAGAAGTGAAAGCCATGCAGATGAGTGAAATATCTGAGGCCTGCTCTGACACTTTTCAAGGGTGCATTAGTGTTCAGCCTACTGTGATTTACTTACTGGTAACTTGTTTGTATGATGCATCCTCTTAGCAGGCCTATATTATAGTGTTGCATGGAGGTCCCAAGTTATGCTCACTTTTCACTCAAGAATCACTGTTTGAATTTAATGACTTTGCATTCTGATGCGTATCCTGTGTAATGTTGGAAATTGGATTTTTTTTAATCGGAACTACTTCTAGTGAGAAGCTTTCATGATCATTTCTCCACATTTATTGTACTCCTTTAATTTGTTTAAAATTAATGGTTTTCGGGGCAGCTAGGTGGCGAAGTGGATAGAGTACCGGCCCTGGATTCAGGAGGACCTGAGTTCAAATCTGGCCTCAGACACATAACGCTTACTAGCTGTGTGACCCTGGGCAAGTCACTTAACCCCATTGCCTAGCCAAAAAAAAATAAAATAAAATTAATGGTTTTCTTACTATTTGAGATATATATCTTTGGTTTCTTTTTTAAAAGACAAAAATTTGAGGCTTAAAATTAAGATAGACATTAAAAAAGAGAAATTAGAGTTGATTGGCATCCTTTAAAAATGTATCTATGATCCTGCCAATCAATACAAAAGGAAATTATGTTAAGTTTAGGTTTTGTACTATTAAAATTTTCCATGAGTATTGTAACAGAATAAATCCTGTTAAATTTTAATGAAAAATAGCTCTTAATTAGAACTGTCTCAGAATCCATGTAATGAGGATGACAGACCTGTGTTACATTGATCTCTGACCTGGAAGGAATGGAAGCGCATTTATTCAGCTTATCCTGTGTGCCAGGCCTTGTCCTAAGTGCTGGACAGATTCATACAAGGGCAGAAAGCAGCACAATCCTGTCACCTTAGCAACGATACAGGCAGAGATACAGGTGGCGCAGTGGAGAGAGCACCGGCTCTGGAGTCAGGAGGGCCCGAGTTCAAATCCTGCCTTAGACACATAACACTAGACACTTAACTACGTGTGTGACCCTAGGCGAGTCACTTAACCCCAATTGCCTCACCCAAAAAAAAAAAGTGAAAGCATAGGGGTAGCTCAGTGACGCAGTGGATAGATATCCAGCCTCACACGCTTGACACTCACTGGCTATGTGACCCTGGGCAAGTCACTTAACCCCTATTGCCTCAACAAAAGGGGGGGGGGGTGGAGATAAGGCAGGTGGGGAAGGAAGGTGGCAGCCACGCCACCTGTCTGAGAAGTCGCAGAGGTGGTAGGTGGAGTCATAGGCCATCTGATGGGGGCAGAGTTTCTAGGAATCTTAAGTGGATTTGGATTGTTGCCAGAGTAAGAGGTGGACAAGAGGGAGGGAAGGTAGTCCAGAGAGATGGCCAGTGTGCCTGCACATGAACTGTTGGCATTGAGCATAGCCAGAGCTGTAGTGAATAATAGATACTTGGGTGTGCAGAGGAGAGAACAAAGGTGCCCATTTTGTAGGGTTTCTGTTTTGGGGTTTTTTGTTTGTTTTTAAATTCTCAAGACTTCCCTTTTATTTTTCCTTCCATTCTAGAATGGGAGGTTTCTGCCCATTACTGTTATTTAAATTTATATTTTATTGGGGGAGGGGGGAAGAGCAGGTATATAACAAAGAACATGATAATAAAATAATAACAATATCTACCCATTTTTTAAGTTAGCCCCTTGCCTACATTCTGGAACTTCTCCATTCTCTGTGCCTGTGGTGTCTCCTGACTTTAAAATATAATATGGGGCAAAAAGAAAGAAAAGCCAGCCAGTCCTGAAGGAGGCGCGAAACAGCAGGGTCGTGTTTGGCATGTCATGTCACATCACACCATATCAGTGTCATGCTGAGGTTAGAAAAAGAAGTCATACATGATGAGAACTTGAGTTCCATATACAACTCTCTTTTTCTTGGTTTGTGGAAATGTCCGTGTTTGCCTAGTATGTCCATTTAAAAAGGAAAAGTGGGTACATAGCCTGCATGAGGCTGCTGAAAAACTCTTAGGCATCAGAGTCATTTTTTTCAGCATTGCCAAGGGATGGAGGAGGTAGGCCTTCAAGTGGCTCTTTTTCAGGTAACAGATATTTATCCCTTTCAGCATTAGAGTTTTTTTGCTTTGCTTCTTAAACAGAGGACAGAGCACATAACTTAGTCTTTAATAATTAATGCTGAAGTGTCTTCTCTGTGAACGCCAGTCCTCCCCTGCATTCTCCTGCCCTGATGCCTCCCCGTGGAGAAGCCGAGGGAGGACCGGCTTGTCCAGGCGCCTTCTAAAAGGAGAAGGGATCGTCCTGTTGTGAAATGCACATGGTGCCTGCACTTTGTCACCTCTGCCGGCTTTCCTTCCTTCAGCGTCACATAGTTGGGGTTGCTTAAAAATGAGCGACCTTTTGCACCAGTGTGTGTTGGGTTAGGGTTAGCCCTTCCTAGCTGGATCTGGTGCCCCCGGCCTACTGGCTGCTGCTTGTACGGTCCCCCTGCCTGGAATGCCCTCCCTCCTCTCTGCTCTCAGCTCCCTGTGCGGTGCCAGTTAAAATCCCACCTTCTGCAGGAAGCCTTCCCCATTCCCCTTAGTGCCTGCTCTCTGATCATCCTAACTCATCCCATCTGTATCTTGTTTGTACGTGATTGTTTAGACTGTGAGCTTCTTGAGGGCAGGGGCTGTTTTTAACCTTTCTTTGTATATCCAGCACTTAGCACAGCGCCTGGAACATAGTTGGTGCTTAATAAATGCTTGTTGACTTGATTTGACTAGGTTTAGCCAGGTGTTGAGCCGGTTGCCTATATACCAAGTAAGGGCAGTTTCTACCTCAGTGACCCTGAAAAAGCATTCAGTTTTTAACTGGCGTTGCTTCTAAAGGAGTGTTGAGTGACCTCTCTGTACAAAGCACTGTGAGGAGATAGAAGAAAATAGAGTAACACCTGCCTTCCAGCACCTTTATTCTCTCATTCACAGTGCCTACAGGAAAAAGATTTAAGGGAGTGCCCTGTGTAAGAGCAAATGAATGAAATTTTATGGAATAAATTAAATACGTGCTAAGGAGATTTAAGAGCAGCTAGGTGATTCGGTGGATAGCGCACTGGACCAGGAGTCACGAAAATCCTAGTTCGAATTGGTCCTCAGATAACTTCCTAGCTGAGTGAGTGACTCTGGGCAAGTCATTAAACTCTGTTTGCCTCAGTTTCTTCAGTTATAAGATATGTTCAGTAATAATAATACCTCCAGGGGCTGTTGTGAAGATCAAACAAGGAAAATATTTGTAAAGCGCTTAGCACTGTGCCTGGCATGCATATAAATGCTAGCTATTAATATTCTGAGTAAGTCTCATGATGACATATCTAAGATACGTTCTAAAGGGATTTGGAGTCAAGGATCTTCATAAGGCTAGCTTTTGAGATGGTCCTATTTCACGAATCCCTGGTGGTGACTCCTTTTGGAAGAGAAGCTTTCCTCTAGTGATAACAGCAGAGCAAACAGAAATACAGACATTAAAAGTGTAAGGAGTGTTACATACATTTAAATTCAAGATGAAGTACAACTATACACCAGGTTTTTTGTTGCTGTTTTTTTTTAATCTATATTTTAGTCATAGTAACTGTATATGGCATAAAATTCCAAAGCCGAGTCACCAAACAAGTTGCCTGTTGGTGAATTTCCTTGACTAGAGTAAATAACTTACATCATGAAGTCATCAGATTGGAGGCTATTTGAATTCTAAAGAGAGCTTGAAAGGTGCCTTTAAGCCTGAGCAGACAGAGGTCAACTTTGACAGGAGCAGGAAGCGTGGGTCAAGAAATAAGGAAAGTCGGGTAGTGCCAGGTTACGAAGTGCTTAAAGTGCCAGGCAAAGGAGGGTGGTCTCAGAGAGATGAAGCACATGGCCTGGTCCAGTAAGGTAAGGCGGGTTAGTCTGGCAGTCGTGTGGGAAATGGGTTAGTGGGAGAGAGTGTGGAGGTGAGGAAGCTGTGAGATACGCACAGGTCAGAAGAAGGGGCAGGGTGGCCATGACCAGGATATCAGCAGGCCGTAGGCGATAGACAAGTGAGACTATGCACGTAAAAATGAACAGGATTTGGTGACAAAGGAGATGGTGAGGGATGAGGAAGAGTCCAGTGTAATCTCACAGCATTTCCCTGTGGGTAGATGAGAGAAGAAATGGTGATCCCATTGAGAGAAATAGTAGTGCCTGGAGGAGTGAAGGAGATGACCAAAGCAAGAGGGCACAGAGAAGGTGGTTGACTGGTGGGAGGAATGCCTGGCAGCAAAGGAGATGGGTGTGGCTCAAGAGGTGGGCGGAGAAATGCTGAAGATGAGCAAGAGAACCTTAAAGCAACCTTAAATTAGACTCAAGACTGAGAAAAGCTTTAGGACGAGTCAGACTGCAAAGCCCTAAGCGGGGGGAGAGAGAGAGAGAGGTGTTTTGGGGATGAGGTAATAGAGCATGTAGGTGACAAATGGCGGGTACCATGTCAGAGGCGAACAGGTGCACACGAAAAGAGAAAGCCACTTGGGAACTAAAATTTGCCATAAAAATCTAAGAAGAGGCAGTCTAATGTTAGATTCATGAATTCTTGAAATTTGAATTTTACTGGATTTTTACAGCATTGATATAATTAGCAGCGAGTGGAGGACTCACCTTTCGTTTCGTAGGTGAGGAAACCTACGCCTTCAAGGGTTACATAACCTTCCTGAGGTCACAGAGCTGGTTAGGGATTAGACCGGTTTAGATTCTAAGCTCTTTGATCTCCCAGTCAAACAATTCTTTGTTTCCAAATTACACTGTAATGACCAAAGTCTGATGACTTTTAGATAACTGTATTGTCATCTTAAAAAAAAAAAAACAACCACATACACACAACTGAAATTTGTGGCAAAGAAGGGATTATCTCTAGAATAGCCTCATCTAATGCAGAATGTTGGAAACAGTTCTTTGTCACAGCCAATTTTCTGCTAGTACAACTTAAATGCTTCATTAGAGACACTTAGAGCTCAAAATTCTTGTACGATCAGTTGTAAATGTTAAGAGCTACAGTATTATGACTTGGGTTTCGAAGTCAGCAGTCAATGTGTTTTTCTGCTTCATTGTATGGAGAATAGCCACAAATACATTTATAGCCAATGTGGCTGCATAAACTACGCTTTTCGTGTTAATTTTTAATTTTTCTCCTTAGTTTCATTTTAATTGTTTTCCCTCTACTGCTGTTCCTTTTTCCCAAGGAGAATGGTAGAGTATATACCCAAATCCTTGGAGAATCACATCCGTCAGTGTTGGCCTCCTCGCTGGAGAGAGGCCAGTTTGAGTTTGGTTACGTTTTATCTCACATTGGGACTTGCTGAAAAGACCCATTTTCCACACTGCATATTTCTAAATGTAACCTGAACCCCTGAACAGCGGTGGTTTGGAAATTTGGCTCTTGGGAAGCTTTTTGCTTTCTTTTTAAGGTGCTCTTTAGTGATCTCCAATGAATGGGTCATCAGGTCATTGCAGCAGTGTAGACAGGCTGTGTCATTTGCTTCTCCTGCCACCTTTAGTCTTTTTCTGTAGCTGTAGTTATTCCAAAAAATACATATTAAAGAAAGCGTAATGTCTACCTGACCAATCCTCTGTTGAAGTCTTTTTGAATGTCCTAAGGACCTAATGATGTTGCTTTGAAAAGAAAAAGTCACCCTTGCAGCAATATGTACTGTCCATTTTTATATGCCTCCTTCCTAGGACAAAATGCAGGTTGACCAAGAAGAAGGCCATCAAAAAGGCCATGCTGAGCATACCCCGGAGGAGGAAATTGATCACACGGGGGCCAAGACAAAGGTTTGCTTTTTCTCCTGTCTGTATACAATACAATGAACATTTAGAAATTATTTTTTATGCAGCATGTTTTTCAGTTGAGACTGAATTCAGGTTTAGCAAGAATAAATCATAACCACTTTGTATTTTTATGAGTATATTAAGAAAATAATGAAACAGTACAATTAAAATTTTCTAGAGTGATGCTCTTCAGTGATGATAAAAGAAGAAGAAATAGAATTATATTTTATTATTTACTTTCTTTGGTTTTAGAGACATTTAAAAGTAAAATTTTACAGTGTAAAACGGAAGTCCCCATTGAAATGTAAATTTGGGTATACTTTTCCAAAATATTGCATGTATTTTTTTTGTTTTATTATTTGAATAGTATGTAATTTATGCAATACAATGTCAAGTTAAGTTTTGGGATTGGGGGAGTTCTGCAACGCTCAAATTATATCTGTCTCTCCATCTGTCTAGCTTATGATTTTTTGGACAAGGAGAGCTCCCGGTACAGAACATTTTTTTACCCAGACAGATTATTGACACTTTTCTGTAACTTGGAACTGAGAAAGATGTAGAGAGGGAAGAATGTTTTTTCTTTTTCTTTTTTTTTTGTTTTTGGTGAGGCAATTGGGGTTAATTGACTTGCCCAGGGTCACATAGCTAGTAAGTGTCAAGTGTCTGAGGCCAGTTTTGAACTCAGGTCCTCCTGACTCCAAGGCCAGAACTCTATCCACTGTGCCACCTAGCTGCCCTTGGGGAGAATGTTTCTTGTTGGTGTGTTTCAGTTTGACCTCTGTGTAAAGAAACAAACAAATAAATGTCTTAAAACAGAAGCTGCAGTATTGGTGGGAGGGCTGTAAGTGATGTGGTATTTTCCAGTGTAAAGAAAACGTATCTACTCCTCCATAGGTTGTACTCAGCTTGAGGTAGTTTCTTTGCTTAGATAGGACTTATGTGGATGTTATTTCTCTCCACAGCCAGTGCCTTCTGACAAGCAAGAGCGAGCAAACCAGAATGTGAAAAAAGGAAAAGTCAAGAGCATCGATTTGCCCATCCAGAGTAGCCTGTACAGACAGCTGGGCCAGGATCTCATCAACAGTTATATAGAAAATGAGGTGGGTGTTCTTGGGATTAGTATCAGAGCTGTCAGTTTATAGAATTTTAACTCAGAATTTTCTTATGAAGTTAGTTTGTTTAAGGTTACTGCCTCATATATAAAAATGTTTAACAAAGTTTAATGGCTAAGTGTTGAATAGAGTGCTGAAATTTCCAGTTTTTAGAAAAATTTAGCTAATAATATGTACTCTATATCAGGGCTTCTTAAACTTTTTTCCACTTGCAACCCCTGCAGTGCTTTTAAACTGGGGGGATCGCACTCCATAGTTTAAGAAGCGCTGCTCTATATAATATAATATATACAATAAATATATTGTCTTTCCTTCAAGAAGTCCCTGAGTTAGCAAACATTTATTAAGTGCCTAGTGTGTGCTAGGCACTGTGCTAAGTAAGCGCTAGGATGCAAATTTTAAAAAGAAAGACGGTCCCTGCCCTCACGGAGCTTATAATCTAACGAGAGAAGACGTAACCCTTGATGTGGAACAGCATCAAGCCGGGGAAGGATGCTGGGACCACTCGTACATTAAGCTGTTGTAGGCACAGTGTAGGCAGAAGAGACATTATATTCAGAATTCCCAGCAGTGAACTTTTTGGAGGTCGGGAGTGTCCTGTATGCTGTTTAGACATAGGAACTGGGACTTTTGATTTCACTGGAAAAGAGAACATTGAGATAAGAGAATGCAGGTGCTGGACTTAAGAGTCAGGAAGATCTGGGTTCACATCCTGCCTCTGATGTTTACTAGTGTGACCTTGGTCAAGTAATTTGAAAGTCTGGGCTTCATTTTCTCATTTGTAAAATGAAGAGGTTGAACTCAGTGACCTCTAAGGTCCCTTCCAACCCAAGTCTGTGTATGATTCTATGAAATTCCCTCAACTACTACGGTTTTGCCCCCATCTGTCTGCAGTGTATGATCTAGGAGAGTCACCAGGTCACCTAGAGGTTAAGAAATTTGCCTGGGGTTCTGCAACCCAGTATATGGCAGAGGTAGCACTTGAACTCAGGTCTTCTGACTGCAAAGCCGTCGCCATGCACTCCTGTATAATATTAAAGCTGGCTAACCATATGTATGTTTCATATGCTGCTCAGCTCCTGACAGATAAGTATTGAAGTTAAAATGCAAAGACCTGGAGCTTCAGATATGGCTAATGTGGGAATTTATTTTGCTGGACTATGTAAGTATGTTTTGAGGGATTTGTTTTTTAATCGTGTGTATATTTTGTCCTACTTTCAAGAAAGTCTTTGCTCTATTGTGGCAAAAGAACTCCAAAAAATATAGTGATTAAGTCAGACTAACCAATCCAATAAACTTTTGTTAATGTGCCAAGCACTGGGGTTACAGTCATAAAAGAAAGACAACCCCTGGGGAAGAATAGGGACATGAATACATTGTTGGTGGAGGTATGAACTAGTCCAGCTATTCTGGAGAACAATTTGGATCTATGCCCAAAGGGCTATAAAACTGGGCCTTTGACCCAGCAATACTACTACCAGCCACGTCTGTATCCCCAGAAAGAACCTATACATACAAAAATAGGGATAGCAGCTGTCTTTGTAGTGGCAAAAGAACTGGAAATTGAGGGAATTCTCATCAATTGGGAATAGCAGAACCAAACAAGTTGTGGTATGTGATTATGACGGAATACTGTTGTGCTATAAGAAGCAACGAGCAGGATGCTTTCAGGAAAGCCTGGGAAAGTTTATGTGAACTGATACGAAGTGATGTGAGCAGAACCAGGAGAGCATTGTACACAGCAGCAGCAGTTTTGTAAGGATGATAACTATGAAAGACTTGGCAGTGATCCAGGACAATTCCTCTGGACCCATGGTGAAAAATTCTCTCCATCTCCAGGGAGTGAAGTGATAAACTCTGAGTGCAGATTGAAAGATAATTTTTAAAGACAGTCCCTGCCCTCAAGGACCTTACAGTCTACTATCTGTTATTCTCTCTGACGATGACACCAAAGGAGAGGATAGCTTAGGAGCTTTCCGAAAGACATAACCAGGATGTTTTTCATCATGTTACTTCTCATTGAATGAGGGATAATTTATAAAGGAGTCATGTGTTCACAAGATGCTGTCTGCCGGGGCCTTTTCATTTATAAGAGTGAAAGGAGACTAGTCCAGACAAGTTTTCTGTTTTGTTTTTAAAGAATATTTGCATTTTGTTAAATGAGTACTGAAATAGAGCTTCTGTTGGTAACTTTTTTTGACTAGGGAAAGATGATCATGCAGGACAAATTAGAGAAGGAAAGAAATGATGCCAAGAATGCTGTGGAAGAGTATGTGTATGATTTCAGAGACAAGCTATGCAGTGTCTATGAAAAATTCGTCACTGCGGAAGTAAGAGTACTGCTTTTTTTAAGTTCCTTTTTTCTTTTTTTTTAAAGCTGTTTTAACTTCTTTTAAGTTTCTAAAAAGTACCTATTTGTAAACCAACCACTTAGCCAAGAAACTTTGATTACCTTCATATTTAATTAAGATTCCAAATCCAAATTGTTGGAGAGTTTTGGGAGAGGGGAGAGTAGGCAGGCTGCTTATAGGGTCTGGGCGACAGGCTCCAGGCTGTGGGTGTGAGATGCAGCCCTTCCCCGGAGAGGACAGCGAATGGCAAGCTAAGGTAAGGGCCTTTGGATGGAGTCAGAGTCCCAGGGAGGCTGGCTAGCCACTAGTTTGGTCCAGCTCTGTGGAGCCATCTTGATTAGAAGGAGAATCCTTGGTCATGGGTCCAGACTGAGACAGAACTAAGTCTGGGAGAGTGAGAATAGCAGCCCTTTTCCTCCAAGGGAAAGTCTGCTATATTGTATCGGAGAAGGCACATTGACTCCTCCTCCTCCTCCTCCTCAGACCTTTCTGTAGGGAGGATCTGTCTGTCCACAGCTGTGCCAGAAGTCATCATGGCCCCATTGCTGCTGACCCCATGGTATCAACCCATTTTCTTTGTTAATGGTGGGTTTATGCAAAAGCACCATTTGTAAAACCTTCAAAATGACATAAACGTTACAGTTTGCCTTCTATATGATTTATGAATGGGAGTGAGATTGCCAAGGAATTTCCAAGGAAGTATTTTCAATTTATTTTTTCTTAAATTTGGTCCTAGGATTCAAGTAAACTGTCTTCAGTGTTGGAAGATACCGAAAATTGGCTTTATGAAGATGGCGAAGATCAGCCAAAGCAAATTTATGTGGATAAACTTCAAGAATTAAAGGTGATACTGCCTTTAGGGCACGAGTGATTGCAGTGTGTAGAGACAGAGGGAGCATGACATAGTAGATAGAGCTCTGGCCTGGGAGTTGGGGGTGGGGGGCCTGACCCATCTTGGCTGAGTGACCCTGGACAAGTCACTTCCCTTCTCAGCTCAGAACATGTGCCTTGAATTGGTGGAAGAAGCCTTTCACTGAGAGTGTGCAGTCTTGTCTGTGTGAGCACTGAGTCATAATAAGGACAGCTCAGCACTTTGCCCCCTCCCCACAGTTGTGTTTGGAGTGGGTCTTTTGTTTTTTAATAGCGTTGTGCAGTATACTGACTTTCAGTCAAGGTTGTGGCTAAGCCTTGAGTCGAAATCTGAACTCTGGAAGCGCCTAAGGCAAATGGAAGACTTGGCCAAGAGGCAGATAGTTGAGAGGACCTGAGGCCGGTGAGGGGGGGACCAGAAACAGAACTTTCACCAGATGGCTCTTTTTCATTGGATTGCACCTTCAGGTGCTATTGGGGTTTGAGGTTTTTTTTTCCCAACTCCTAGTGTGATACTTTGCACCTATTAAGAATTAATAAATACTTGCTGAATTGACTTTTTCCATTCTCATAGAGGCAGGGAAGTTTTTCCTAGAAAAAAAAGTTTGAATAAGAATTCTGGGCTACAGAGCTAAGACTTATAATGGCTTCTTGGACTTTTTATTGGGGCAAAAAACTCTGAGAGGAATGTTTAAAGGGTTTTTTAACTTTGTATTGTATTGTTTGCTTATTTCTTAGCCAAGGATAGACCCAGAACTGCAGCTTTAATTGAAGGTTTTTTCCTAGTACAGTGTATTGGATAAGGTCTGGTTATGTCTTGAGTGCAGTGGGATAGATTCACCTTAAGGTCTCTTGGTTGGGATTTTTGTTCTTCTGGTTGTTTTAAAAGCAGTTTGCACACTCAGCATATTTTGCTCACATCAAGTAAGGTTTCCTAGCCTTCTGTTCGAAATCACATGTTGTGTTAATGCAGATGGAATTTCTGGGCAGTTAATTTTCTGGACCTTGGCTTCTGATTTGATTGGTGGAATTATTTCTTAGAAACAAAAGTTGCTAAGCATTTTCCTCGTAGGGAATGTCGTGGTCTTTGGCCAAGGTCTTCCTTCTTGACCTGGGGAAGGTTGAGGGACTGACCACCAAGACCAGAAGAAATAATTGTCATGTATCAAGAGGCTTTGTTGTTTTTTCGTTGAAGTTGATGCACCCCCTGTGTAACCATGCCACATCATTGCTATTTTGAAAGCTTCAAATGTCCTTAATTTTTTTTTCTCTTTTGCTGACAGAAATTTGGCCAGCCTATTCAAATTAGGTACATAGAACATGAAGAGAGACCAAAAGCTTTAAATGACTTGGGAAAGAAGATCCAACTTCTTATGAAAGTGGTAGAAGCATTTAAGAATAAGGTACTATATTTGTGAAGAAAAGGGGAGAGGGCAGGGGAAATGTCACCTTTAGTTTGTATGCCTACATGTTAATTTTTAAGGCTCATGTGAATAAAAGCTGTAAATTATTATAGAATTGCCATTTACTTATGTGTGAGCCGACATAGATTTTTAAAGAATCTGAACTTTCTACTAGGCTTCCTGTACTGGAGTATTAAATGAAGGGCTGATATGTCTTAGCAAGCTGAGCATTTTCATGATGTCAGCTACATTTCTCTCTCTGAACTTACTGATGACCACCTGGTTTTTTAAGTGTGGAGCCTTTTTAAAAAATGCCAAGACCAATCTTACATTCTAAGGACACTGTCATTACTAGTTTCTGTTATTCTCTACTGTCTTGATTACCTGGTTTCTCAGATCATGTTTATGTCCTTGGCAGTTTCTTTATAATACTCTGGCCCACTAGCTATTGGTATCCCACCAAGACTTAATTCAGGTTTTTATGCATTCGTTCACATGGTTTCAAATTATTACTCTAATGATTCTTATGTATGTTCACTATATTTCACCTCCCATCTATTTCTGTAACCTCATATGTTGTTAACAAATTAAAAACTCAGCTCACCACATTGTGTCATCCAAATAAGCAGCCCTCCCCAGTTTCTTTTTCTGGTGATAATGGGAACAGGCTGTCGTAGAGGAATCACAGGAGTGGGGCTGGCACACCAGGATGGAACTGGCCAGTGTAGAACATAGATACTGGGAAGACACGGTCAGAGATCTGGCATCGAGGAGAGTGAAACAAGACCCTGAGTCTGAAGGGGCAGTTCCCTGTCCAGCGTACTTTTCTAACAGATGACATCCTCAATTTCTCAGTTGTTGGAATGCTTTTTTAAAACTCTCCTTAAGGGCAGCTAGGTGGCACGGTGGATAGCCCTGAAGTCAGGAGGACCTGAGTTCAAATCAGACCTCAGACACATAACACTTACTAGCTGTGTGACTCTGGGCAAGTCGCTTAACCCCAGCATTTCCTCACCAAATTAAAAAAAAGAAAAGAAAAGAAAAGAAAACTCTCCTTAACCTCTTGCCCACTCCCCACAGTCTTACCGCTCTTTTTCCCACAGTGTTTGTGCACTCTGGCCCATTCTGTTCTTCATGAGGCGCATCCCTAGCGTGGACTGTGACTGCCACAGTGGTGTCCTTGAGAGACTTGTGGCCCCATTGACCCCTTTGGCGTCTCCTTCTTAGGATAGCTGCAGTCTTCTTCCATCAAATCCATAGTCCTGTTCCTGCCCTTTGACATCTTTTCCTAACTAACCAATCTGTGTTTACTCGCCCTCTCCCACAGAGAATTCTGCTCCGTTCCAGGGATATCTGCTCTGTTGCTTACTCACTTTCATCTTCGTGCCTTCTTGCATGTGCCATTTCCCTTGTAGACAGTGCATCCCACCATTTTCCAGCCTTGTGGAAACCTGGAACAATTTGTGCCCTCCTCAGGAAGCCTTTCCTAATTAGCCCCAGCCCATCCTGGTCACTTGATTCTTCCAATTGACACTGCTAACTTACACTCATTTGTATATTATATCGTAAATAATAGCACTGGTACTTGGTTTGGGTTTGGTTTTTTTCAATGTGTGCACCTTCACCTAGATTTTCACTGTTTTGTCCTCTCATAAGGCTGATTAGGATGATCAGAATACATGTTATTGAGGATTGCCTCATGCTTTAAATAGACTTTTTTTTTTTAATTAGGATGAAAAATATGATCACTTAGATGCTGCCGACATGGAAAAGGTGGAAAAATTTATCAATGAAGCCATGAATTGGTTGAACAGCAAGATGAATGCACAGAACAAGTTAAGCCTCACTCAAGACCCCGTGGTGAAAGTAGCCGAAATAGTCGCGAAGTCCAAGGTGAGCTCTTGGCGGGGTGGGTTCCTCATGTCTCAGACTACTGCCCCCAAGTCCCTGAGCTTCTCTCACTTGCGTAGAGTAGAGGAATTATGTTTGTGTAGATGGTGGCTTGGCTTGCGCATCCACTGGGTGTTAAGTCCTTGGCCAAGAAAGAAAATATCTGTAGGAGTGGGGTGGGGTGGGGTGGGGGCAGTGCCCGGTGAAGATCTTGGGCCATGAGGGTTTACAGCCCTGCTAGCGTCCCACCAGGATGCCCGCCTCTCACCGCCCCTCCAGGTGCTCCTTTCTCATTGGCTGTCATCTTTCTGTGAGGGCTCTTTTCCTGTGGCCCACAGTGCTACCAACCTGCACCTCACTCGCCTCCTCAGCATTTTGGTTGTGCTCTGTTTAGCTCAGAGATGAGTCTCCTGGGCAAAGAAGCACAATCAAGGTTGACCAGCCGTGGCTTCTGTCCTTCATCCACCCAGAGTGGCGGTCCTGTGACTTCTTAGATCCAGCTGTTTTTCCTCAGTGTCGTTTTAAGAACCCAACACAGTCTTTTTTGTCCTTCTGAGCATTCCTTGCTAGCCTCAGCCTCTTTTCAGCTTTGGCACTCCGGGCACCATTCTTAGAGGACTGTGCCATGCTTTTTAGTTTCCCCATCATTAGCTGTCCCTGATTTTAGGTGTCTTTTTAAAGTGTCATTTGGTCATTGGCTCCCCTATTGGTTTCTTGAGAAAGCACCCTCATTTTCTCCCCCGTTGGAATTTTCTCATTTTTTAATTAAGTACAAGACACACTTCAGATCCAAGAAGTAAAAATCTTAATTTACCAGATGAGTTTTCTAAATAGAGGGCATATTTGTGGAAGAATACAGGGAAGGGTAAGTGAAAAATTATTTTTCAAGATTAGACAATTCCATGTCCTTCTTGGCTTGTAAAGTTTTAACGATGACCCGGAAAAAGACTGTCCAGGAGAAATGTCATAGAGGGAATTTTTTAAAGTTTGTTAATTTTTGAGTAAAGAGAAAAATGTTTCCCATAAGCAGTGTATGCCTGAGGAACACCTAAGAAATATGGAGATTGAGGAATGAGAGAAGAAACATAAGAGAGCATAAGAAAGCAGGAGCTTTACGAACACGGCGCGGAGTGAAGGAGCATGGAGGCACAGTGGCATCCAGAACTGGCTTGGGATGCTAGCTGAGAACCAAGGGGTGTTGGGTGATGTGTTGGAGCATCCGAGGTAGTGTGGGAAGCCAGGTCTTCTGGCTCCTGAGTATAAACTTTGCCACAAGTATATAGATAATATAATTCCCAAGACTTTGTTCTTTTCTTCATTTGGGCAGGAGGTGGTAAAGGTACAGGGGTAGGGATCAGGTCACAGATAAAGAGAGGATGATTGTTGAAGGTTTTTTTTGTTTTTTTTTTTTAACCAAAGAACAGAAAGAAGGCCTAGAAAGGGTCAAACTGGGAGGAAAGTGACGTGTTGAGGTTATTACAAATTTAAAGATAAAGCTGTACATAATGGAGAGCCTCGGTTCCGTGTCCAATTTTTTTTTAAATTCTACTGTGTATATGGAAGTTCCTACTTTATTTGGTATTTTAAGTTCAGAATAAAACAAATTAAAACAAAAATTGCTCCATGCCTGAGAACTTATAAACTATGTTATTGCAACCCTTAATAACTTAAGGCAATGAGATTGAGGGGAAGCTTAATGAAAATACAACTATATAACCTTGTCATACATGCCAGTTTCACATCATCTCATATAATGAATACTTAGTGACAGTGAAAAAAAAAAAAGACAGTAGACAAGTGCAGGCAGAAAGAAGAGCATCAAACATAATGTGGTCATTTTAACCATTCATTATTAAGTAGAGTAATTTCTCTTAATTTAATGCCATTAGGAGCTGGATAGTTTTTGTAACCCCATCACTCACAAGGCCAAACCCAAAGTGGAGGTGTCCGAAGACCAAGCGAAAGCGAATGGTGAACACAACGGACCAATGAATGCACAGAGTGGGACGGAAAATAAGCCTGACGCAGCCAAGGAAAGCTCCCCGCCCACGAAGCCTTCTACTGGAGAGATGGAAGTGGACTAAGGCGCCAGGGTCTCCGGCACGTATTCAGACAGTGCAAGTAACTGCAGGGCCCATTCTTCTTTGCATCGGGGACACCGACAGGTGTTCCATTGTTCTTAGCCATTTTTGTCATTTGTTCTTTGCAGTAGTTTTGAAAAGTGTTTTATATTGAGTGCACCTCTGATGTTCATTTCCAATGATTAATGCTGCTTAGGTGAAGCTTTAGCTGAATAGATTGTGTAAGTCAGTTTAAGCTTTCCCGATGTATCTTATGTCAGACTTGCAGAATGGATAGAAAGATGGCAACAATCTACCTTATTTAAAGCTTCTCTTGTGGATAAACCTCAGCTCCTTTATTCAGGAAAGGACACTGTATTGCACTACTGATGCGCAAGTATAGATTGAATTGCATCGTTATTTTTGAAAAAAAATTGGAATTGAAGTGGTTTAAAGCCATTGAAGCACTGACCTTTTTCTAGTTATTGTATTGTTATAATTTAAATATTAAAACAAATAAGAGGTTAGCTGACAAACTAGTCCATCTCATTGATGTATTCAAGGTTTTCTTGTCTTTGTCACACAGATGAACAAAAACATGAATTTCAAAAAGGAAACACCGTTCTGAGTTGTGGTGACACCAGCAATAGCTTTCCTTTACCACAAACCCGGCTTTGATTTCATGCTCGCCATTTCACCTTCCCTTTGCTAGAGATAACCGGCTTTGGCTGAAGACATGCTGCTACCGCTGCTAAAATGTTAGCTTAATGACTTACTTAAGAGAATTTTCAAAGAAAATCACTTCCTAGCTAAGAGAAAAAAGCATTGCTAGCTTTAGTTGGGCTTGCTGCTCTGGTCTTGGCAACTTTCTTTAGGTATCAACGGTACTTAGGTCTTTAAAACTGTCTAGCGAGCTTCTGTTTCCAAGTGAAGGGGAGGGGGCACCACGATACTTGACTCTGCCTGTCACCCACCCACCCTTCACGTGTGGGTCACATTGTCACACTTGGGAGCACAGGGGAGCCCCTCTGCTACAGTCTTTGGAAAGTCTTGTGACTCGTGTGTAATGTAAATTACGACATCATACAAACAGGCAAAGTTAGGCTCTCTTTGATAATTTCTGCCCTTAGGTGATCCATTCAAAACTGGGCCTTCTGATTTGAGGCTTCTAATTTAAATTAATTGTGAAGGGGGTTCTAAGTTACCAATACAGTATTTCCATGAACATACCTGTGCTTTTAACCATCAGACTTACCCCTAGTGGCCCAGTGCTATCCCAATGCCTAAGCTGCCAAATTCGGTGTGAACACATGTTGAAATGATTTTAACACCACAGGAAAAGCATAGAAAAAATTTGCAGCTGTTTGAGGTAACTGTAGATATTTACATTAGGGTGATAGGAGCTAGTCTTAGGTAGATATACCTATGTTTAAAATTTGATTTTTTTTTTCCATACCTATGCAAATCAAACGTTCAGAGCACAGTGTCTTTGGAGATGTTCAGTGTTTCTCAACTCTAGAATAGGGATCTGTTATTGCGACAGTTGTAGTCTGGGCTAAAAGAAGTGTGTGTAGTGGCCATGGTATTTTATGTGGGGATTTTTACCCAAACTTTGTTTTAATATTAAGAAGTCCACACAGACTGAGGTGTTGACATCTCAGAATATCTTCCGTCTTTCAAACTATCTCTTGTTTTAATCCTCTTAACGTGATTTAAGTATAACTACTATAGAACTATATTTGAAACAGGATCACCTGTACTTTCCATTTGTTTGTTTTGGTTTGAACTTAAGGATTGTGTAAGATAGTACCTTAAGGACATTGACCACTGCAGCATGGAGAATTTAGTCTTCAAAAGGTAATCAAAACTGCGGGGCCAGAGTAGGAGCGTGGGGCTAACCCTGGGGACCAGATAGCTACTCCTGGGCTTACGGTGTATTTTGCGTCCATATGTTAAATGTGGGTGTGCACATGTGCACAGAGACACATGTGGCAAACACTCATTTCATTTGTGTGTGTATACACGTGCATGTCCTTATACATATATGAAGGGCAAGCTAGTGTGTGTGTGTGGGTGTGTCTGTACACACATACAGATGCACACACACACACATATCTTTACCATCCTAATCTGTAACCTTTATACTGAATAATTCTGGATCTCTGAGTAGAGATTGAGACAGAGAGAGGTCACTCTTGTTAGTTAAGAATGTATCACGTTAGGTATGAGAGCATTTCTCCGAGCTTTCTGGAGGATGATGGAGCACTACACCACTAGTCACTAGTCCTTTTGTTTTTAACTCAAAAGTTTATTATATGGGCCCTCTTCCTATAACTTTATTGGCACTTAGAGACTATTTAGTAAAATGTTTTTGGATCTCTTTCTTATTTAAATTATCCATAATATAGAGATATTTGTAACATAGTGAGATAGGTCCATATGTAGTTTAAGACAAGTAATCTAATGTGCTTTTTATTTCTGTACTCTGTGCTAGAGAATACTGTCAAAATAAAGATGAATCTACTATTTAAAAGATATAAATTGTTTAGTAAAAAAAGATGCATAGCAAAATTGTCTAATTAAAACTTAAAAAGCAGTCGGTCTAGGAAATTTAAAACTAGAATTAATGAGAAAACTCATTATTTGGGTTATTTTGGCTTTAAAAAAAATCCCGACTTATAGCCAGTTTCCCCTAGTGGTTATTAGGGAGTTGGGAGTGGAAGGGCATGGAGCCAGGATGGAGCAGGAAGAGGTGAGAGAACAAATCTGCATTGAGAACACCCCCAGAAGAGGTGCTGTGGAAAGCAGGGCAGTCTGAGCTGTTAAACAGAGTTCGAAACATCGAAGGATCAGCCTTTCCTGTAAGGAAGGGGGAGGATAATAATCTTCCTTGGGTTTGTTTAAGGAAAATTGTAAGGGCAAGGCAGGACGTTAAGCTGTTTTCTCCACAGAACAGTATTCTACATTAAAGTTCTTCATTTGTATGGCTTTTGAGATGATCCTAAGAAACTTTGTTAATTTTCCATAAAGGAGTACAGATGTGATGGCATTCTAGGTTAATTTTAATATAGATGATTAAGGGAACACCCCCTGGGGGAAGACAGTGTTTAATTTATGAGGGATCAAACCTCTAGGGGAGGAAAATGTTCTTTATTAGAAAACCCTAGGAACCCTGTTATCAGTACTATAAAACTACGGCATTAAAGCACTCCAGATAGGCCTATTTAAAGACAGTAAGATATAGTATAAACTTTTGTTATTTCTGTTTAGCTCTTTTTAGACATGGCCATCCTGTTTTTAAGTGTGCTTTCCCCAATCAATTTAAATTATTTTGAAGGCCTACATCCTGTTATCCTATTTGAATTTGTTCTGAGCTTATCTTATAGTTAAGGTTGGTAGTCAACAGATACTTGTATATTTTTTATGATAAACTTAACATGTTTATACATGTTTCCTTGCTTGTAAGGAATAAATCCTTACAGAAAACCCGTAACATTTTGTAAAGTTAGAACCAAATGAATATTGATAGACAGTAAACAAAAATGAATTTGTTTAACGTCCCCTTCTACTTCTGTCTGAAGTTTTTCTGCCTTTGACTTTGCTCGTTTTTCTTGCTGTTTTGTTTTGTGTATTTGGAATTACTTGTGTACACACGTATATTCATGTAGTAAGGGTATATACAGTTATAATTCTGCTCAGTCTACAAATATCAAAGCCATTATGTTACATTGTGGCAGAATAGAGTTTGAACATTTTATGAAATTAATAGGAAAAAGGTGTAGGTGTAAGCTTCTCATATTTTTAGCAGAAATGGTATGCTAATACTTTATATTTGAAGTTCGTTTGTAGTGTTTTTAAAATTCAGTGTTTATCAAATTTGGTTCTGTGGCATTTAACTAGATAGATGCATAGGTGTTAGGCTTGTTAAGCCCTTATACTTTTTAATCATTGGACTTTCCAGAATGTTTTTGTTTCTTAGCTTTGGTGAGTTGATACAGTTTAAATCAGTGATCACTTTTTAAAGTGATTTTTAAAACCTTTAAAAGAATTTCAGTTCTAATGCATTTTGCCTTCTCTGATTACATTACAGTTTTGTCATAATTATAATTTAGAAAATTGCTTATAAAACAAATGGTAAATTTCAGAAATTAAATTTAATTAAATTCTTTTCTGGCCAACAACTGGGTTGAGCATTCATTCTGCAATAGTTATTTCTAATCTAATCTATAGAATAATAACCATAATCCTAATAAATTTCCAAGAAAACTTTTTCACAAAAAAAGTAGCTCAGTGGAAATACTGACTTCCTTCCCCCAAATCATCAAGTCCAAAAGAGCTGCCTTAGTTATTTCCCTACAAATTTTCACTTAAAGTAACTTTACATAAAGCTTTTCTTTGCATACTTAGAATAGGAATAAACCTTTAAAACTCTGGTTTTATAATAACCAAATATGGTCTTTCCAAAATGACTTACTGCTGGCTTCAAATTATGGGCACATCTTAAGCTATAATTGTTTGTGGAAAAGTTGGAGCAGGCAACTTTATGAAGTGTGGCAGGAGGAAAAAAATGTTTTACCGTCAATTTGCAAGGAATCTCTACACATGTGGGTCAGTAATGCCAATTTGTAGACATTTGAGAAGTCTTAATATAAGTAGGATTTCCATACCAGAGTACAAAAGAAGGATTTTGATTAATTTCTATTAAAAACCCAAGGAATAAAAGGTGAAGTTACCAGTAAACCTTTGAGGTCCTATGTACTTTGATTCTTTCAACTTTACTATTATACCAGCTAATCAGATGGCCAGTCCAGGAAAAAATAGAGCATTTATACAATTATCTTTTTCCTGTTCTTTCACAAACCACTTGTTATTCAAACAGATCCTATTGTCCCCAACCCATAGTAGTTTTGTGGATTCTCAAATGCGATTGTGTGCTTTAGAAATGGAAATACTATCTATTTATTCCATTATATTTATTCTTTTGCTATACATAGCTTTTTTTTTTAAGTCCTTCCCAACCCTAAATGCACTCCAGAATTTTGTTGGAAATGGTTTTCATTTTTTCAAAGAATTTTACTTGTGTGCGTGTGTTGTTTTTTTTTTTTTAAGGTTATCCGTTTTGGGGGTTTTTGTTTTGTTTTGCTTTTATTCTCTCCAGTTTCCTTTTTTTCAGACACTAGGTGATGTGCTAATATCCAGTTACTCTCATGAATAATTTACTTAGTATTAGTATCACATTTTTCTTTCTAACTCCTTTTCCATTTATCCTTTCCTCAGATTTCTGCTGTTGCTTTTTTGCTCATGTTCTCCATTATAAAAATAATCTTTGTGTCCCAGCATGTAATATTCCTAAAATGTACTAAGATAAGTAATAGATGTATAGGGATTTTTCTTTCACAGTCTGATCTTTAAATGCTTTAAAGCCGCTCTGATCTAAGAGGAATAAAATTTCTGTATCTGTTACATAAAAGAACCAGTATCCCAGGTTTGGTTGATTGGGTTTTTTTTTTTTTTGTTTGTAAAAATGTTAAAAAAATGTAGAAGTCAAAACTCAAGTAGTCACTTAAATTACTCTGCACTTCTTCTGCATAGGTATTGTAACTGCATTTTTAAAACTTGTTTTTGCTTCTTAAAGGGCTCATTAGCTAATTGTTTTTTCCTTTATTAAATGCAAGAGCTGTTTTACAACCTGAAATATAAAAGGCAGAAGTTTATTAGAAATAGAGATGGGTATAAATGAATTTGGAAAACATTTTTTCCAAATGATTGACATTACCATTTTTCCTTATGACCAATCGCAAGAGAAAAATCTTTTTTTTTTTTTTTAAATAAGCATCACAAGTTACTCATTTGGGGGTTTTTGTTTACATTGTTAACTGCAATTATAATTGTCCTATCCTTTTTGGCAGCTTAATATATACTCAAGTGTTTTTTTTCCCTGTGGAAAAGGAAGACATCAACGTTGCTCTTGGTTCTTTGTGGAATATGAGTCACCCAACAATCTGAGAGGGTAAATGTGGGAAGCATTTTGATATGCCTTGCCTGAATTTTGTAAGAAGCAAGAAGACATCTCATTTGAAAGCGCTTGATCAGGCTCCCGAGGTGCTGTCTATGTATTTAGCAGAGATGTGTTGGAGAGCCTGTGTTAAGAACCTTCCCATGGAAAACTCTTTGTGATAAAACTTGACTAGCCTGATGATGACAGCAGTGTCAGAATCTGCAAGCTGTTTGTTACTGTCTGTAATTCACAAGAGTGAGAAACGTGCACAGTGTCAAGCCCTTGTGTAATTATGATGGAGAGTAACCAGTATGTGGACCATTAATTTTGCCTACTTGACATGTCATTTTTATATAATTAACCTCACTATGAAAGGTACACACTCAGTCTCGTATTTCTGACAGAATTCAGGTACCAGGTTTGTTTGGAAGATTTTGGTGGTAAAAGTATCCTATTCCATATGAGGCTATTTATTTGATATTTTGTCAATAAATATACTGGCAAAATAAAACTTGGTACTACAGTGTTTCTAAAAACTAAAAGAAGGATTGACATATAAATGAATCCTTAAACTTTTGGTAGTTACCTAATAGGATAGCAAACTATTAAACATTGATGTGCATAGTCAATATTATACTCTACTTGCCCAGTCTTATTTCCTGTCTCTTCTAGAGTATTCATGATGCATTTGTGAATTCTACTTTGTTTTTGTTTGTGTGTAAACTATAGGATTATGGTTGTACTCCTGGATCGATTATCATAAGCCAGTGAATTTTGAAATTTCTGTTAGGTGTTTTCCTTCCTACATTGAAAACATACATATTCTTTGGGATTGAGATAGAGGGAACTCAAGGATGTGCAGAGGTGCTCTCAATGTTGTATCTCAACCTTGCTGCTGCTATTTATAATATTTGAAAAATATTTCTCCATATTGGTATTATCTTGTTAACAAACTGCTGTGCTTACAATAAATTGTTTGAATTAGCGAGGATACAACAACCAAATATGATTTTGGAGTGCTTTTTATACATACATCTATCACGTTTTTTAAAATAGTAAATTATGTGACTAACAAACTTAGGTATGGCATTTAGGGTCTGTTCATGCCAGGAATGGGTATGGCTCTCTTGTCCAGCCTGCTCTTTGTGCAGTCACAGGGTTGTGGCTATTTACCCTGTCTCAGTGGCAGTACCTCCTCCTTAGAGCTGATAGGTGGTTAACACTAAGGGAATCTGGCTAGAACTGACTCTAGTCAGAGCCCCTTAATGAAGGTGGAAAAGGAGCTGGTCACCTTCTTGTTTTAAATAACCTTTTCTTTGCCTTGGAAATCGTGAAATCTCCCTATACATCCCCATCCATTTTTTATAATCCTGTCCTCATTTCCTTTTTGGGACTCCTTTAGATGTGGAATCCCAAAAACTTGAGAAACCTGAAGTTTTCACTTTGATGCAGTCATAACTTTAGAGCCGAAAGGGACTACGTAGGTGCTCTGGCTTCAACCCTGCACTTTGCAAACAAGGACATGTGAGGCCCAGAGAGGGCGGCTTGTCCTATCTTTTCTTTTTTTAACTTTTATTTCTTTAAATACTATTTTATTTTTTCCCCCAATTACATATTTGGAAAATGTTTTAGCATTATTTTTACAAGATTTTTGAGTTCCAAATTTTTCTCCCTTCTACCCTTCTTCTGAAAATGGTCTAGGCAGTTTGATAAGGTTTATACATGTGCTATCATGTAAAACATTTCCATATTCGTCACAGTTGTGGAAGAAAAAACAGATCTAAAGGAAATAAAACCATGAGAAAAAATAAAGTCAGTGGAAAAAAATATTCTTCGATCTGCATTCTGAGCCCATCAGTTCTTTATCTGGATATGGATAGCATTTTCCTTCATGAGTCCCCTGTCTTCTTAAGTACATTTCATCAAAGTATGTTAAAAAATATATATCTTAACATCTCCTGGGAGTTCTCAAAGAGTATTATAGCATCATCAAGCACTGTCAGGTCCCACTATTTGGCCCCAAATTTGGGCCTCGGCATACCTGCCGCCCTTCTCGGGCTTTATTACTAAGTCCAGAAAATTCCATCACTAGAAGGTTGGCTGCTAGGTTAACCTCAGGAGAGGGGGATGCCTAGAGTTGATGAAATGTCAGATACCTTGAAGCATTAAAATTCATTATAATGACTTTAGGTATTATTTTAGTTTTTCTAACTCTCATAACATTTAGCTTTCTATTCTGCTACTCCTTATGTAGTCATTCAGTCTCCATCTTAAAACATCTGTCATTTCTTTAGGTTATATAGCCTTGTACTTAACTTGGTTTAATTCCTAAGTATATATGTTACTAATTTGATTAGTAATTTTTTCAAGTATTGAAGTCATGCTATAAATGCAGTATATACCTTAAAAAGTATAAAAAGCTTGGGCAGCTAGGTGGCACAGTGGATAGAGCACCGGCGCTGATTTGTATTCAGACCAAACACTTGACACTTACTAGCTGTGTGACCCTGGGCAAGTCACTTAACCCCAATTGCCAAAAAATGAAAAGTATAAAAAGCTTGTTTCATAAATTCATAAAAACACCCCCAAATTAACATAAATTCTCTTTTCTCTCTGCTAATCTGGTTTTTTAAAACTTATGGCCAAGTCTAAAAAGAATAGTTTACTGTTAACTTTTGCTGCAAAAAGTTCATTTAATGAGTTATCTGATGCACATGAGTATTTGGTTTCTGGGTCAGCCTTCATTCCCAGACTAATCATTAGCATGCTTATTTCAACCTATAGACCTCGTTTCTTGGACCAGTAGGGAACTCCTCATCTTCTTTGGATGTACTCATCATTTCATCATGGAAATGAACTCCCATGAAAAATCAATCCCCAGCCTTTAGTTTGCTTTTGGTGCTGCTTTTACCCGCTATTTTTTCTTCTCCTATCTAAAAGGAGGAAGTTAATAAGTATAAAAATTTATTTTAGCACTTAATAATTGAGTTTTATAGTGTGTTTCTCATCACCAAAGCATAATAAGTTCATCAAAACTAGTAAGTGGTTTGCTGTTCATTGAAAAAAACTAGATCAAAGTTGAATTTCTTTCCCAGAGGCCCTAGTCAGTGTAAGACTTTTAACAGAAGACTAATTACTGCACTGCCTTTCAATACCACTTTAGTAGCCAGTGTTTACCCCTCAATAGACCACCATTGTTAACTGTGACTTCAACTGGATGGGATATCTCTCTCCTTCTCTGTTACACACACACACACACACACACACACACACACACACACTCTCACACTCACACTGCAAATGTAAATTTGTAGTAGAAATAATTATAACTCACATAAAAACTTAAGTTTTTCAGCATTCTTTAAAATGACATTAGCTCATTTACTGAGTAGGTGGTGCATGTATGATGCCCATTTGCCCAGGAAAGACTCTGAGACTGAGAAGTGACTTGTCCAGTAGTATTGGTGGTACCCATTGTGTGGTACTCATGTGTGAGAAGTGGGCCATTTGAATCACCTCAAATCCAGCCCTTTATTAACTTTGTCATGTTATACCTAAGAAATAAAATGGTGATTGGTTATTTCCATTTTCACACAAAAAATGGAAATGAATTGCTTGGTAGGGCAGATGTGACAACCTTGAAAATGTTGTTAGCTTTTGAAATAGATTCCTATAGAAGAAAAATCACTTTTATGGTTTCTCTGTTAATAATAGTCTACATGTCCATTGACTTTAGTTGGAGTGCTGCCAAGGGAGTGTGAAATGTGATCTATTTGAGTAATTCCATTTCTTTAAAAGCCTTCCAGCCTGGATACACATATATTGTTTCCCTACATTATGTAGCATGATAGCTAACCCTTTTAAAAATTCTATTCTAATGTTTTGCCCTGATGTGGAAATGACCCTGGAATTCTGAAGACTGCTCTAGAATACAAGCACTGACAGATTTTACCAAGCGGGAAAGTTTTCACATTGGGCAACCAGAAATAGCCTTTCAGTCAAGGACCAACCACAACCAAGCTCAAAGAGCTCATCACTAGGGATTCATCACTGGCTAATGACTTTTTTTTGTTCATAGCAAGGCATGGAAGACCAGAGACCCAAGAATGTGAAGCATCTTGGTGTGTATTTATTGAAAGGAAAGCCCCACGAGTAAGTTCCTCAAAAGCGTGACACATCCCCTCCCCCATAGAAGAAAGAAAACTGGAAAATTCTTCTGTTAGGTACAGGCAATTTCTAGGGCTCTGTCTTTGATGCTTCCTCCTTCCCTGTACGTTAACCACACTGGAAAGCTCATTTACTCTCACCCCTTCATGCTGATGACTCTCAAACACATCTCCTGCCCTGAAATCACAACTCAGCTGAAATGCTTTATTTCTTAGTATATCAAGGGCAGCTCCACTTGTATTGGTAGTAACCATAGAGTGAATAGGTATGAAGCCAAACACATCAACTTTTGTATCTCTCCCTGACCCAACCAAAAGTGGCCTTGTGTTATTCATGACTTTCCCAACAGAAATCTTTACTTTATCACTGGGTTCTTAATAAATGCTTGTTGACTGCTCATTCCATTTCTTCTTCTCCAGGGTTTGATTTCTGCTTGCCTTCCCTTAGTCCCCCCCCCCCTTTTTTTTTTTTTGGCTTTTTGGTGAGGCAGTCAGGGTTAAGTGACTTGCCCAAGGTCACACAGCTAGTAAGTGTCAAGTATCTGGGGCTGGATTTGAACTCAGGACCTCCTGACTCCAAGGCTGGAGCTCTGTCCACTGCGCCACCTTGCTGCCCCCTTATTCCTAATTTTTAGAACATCTCGGGTGAGTTAACGCAGCAGTTTTGAGTTTCTTCTTTGAGTATTACTACCAAACTAATCTCCCTAAAATACCACTTTGATCATGTAACTTCCTTAAGTTACTACCACAGTCTCCTCTGCATGCTTCTCAAGCCCTTCAAACATAATATTACTGTGGATTTCACCCATAGATTAGTTGCATTCCATCTAACCACACTTAGGCAGCTCATGAACATATTCCAAAACAGTGGTTTCCTCACTGTTCCAGGCATGCACCATACTAATTTCTGCAACCCAATGTGTGCTGTTTTCCCAAATCCAATTTCCTGAATGAATCTTTCACATAATGTGTGAAAGCACATAGCATAATGTAAGATGTACAGGTGCTTAATGATATAAACTTTAAGAAAAAAAAAAAGGATTTCCACCTTCAAAAGCAGTTCAACAAGTCTAGAAAAATAATCTTTGGGTATCGGGCAATTAGGCCTAGAAAGGGTTGTTTTTGTTTGTTTTTAATTACCATCTTCCTCTGTTTGTAGTTCCTTTTTGCTTTTAAATTTTCTCTCGTTATTGTTTCCGATTTTTCAGTCTCATAAAAAATGTCCTTTACAAAAGGCCTACACAGCATGCAGAAAGAATTTTATACTTACTAACATTAAGAGAAAAAGTAAATTATGCATAGCCAGAGGCAAAAATCTTATTTGTAAGAGTTCTAGGACCTTCTAAAAAAGTCATCAATGGAAACAAAATATTTTAAGTTGAATATTTTCGATACCTTAGTTTTAGCCATATCCAGTTTTTTTGTGAAACAAATGATGTCAAAATTAGAGCCAACAAGTGAGTAAATGAGGATGGAGGTAAGTAAACCCTATTCATGGACCACAAAATGACTTTCTACTGCATGAAGCAGATTCCAAACCTCCTTAGACAGCCAGAGTGATAATAAACCCCTCAGAGTAACTTATGGCATTGTCAGAATAGGCCCAGTTTTGGCTGAAAACTGGTTGAAGACTTAAATATATATACACTTTAAAATAAAGAATAAAATATAAATCTGGGTTTAAAACAGCTTTCAGTTGAATTCTGTCCCTATGTAAACCTATTATTTGGTTCAAATGGTAACATGCTAAGTGCCCACATGTGCAAGGTTAAAACACATGGTCCCTCTCCTGACAGGACTCCTCATGTTTCTGCACCCAAGCTCCAAGACGCAAGGGA